TAATTATTAGAAAGAGTCATCAACGACTGATCATCGATGATCAACAACTTTCGTAAAATAGTTTTTGGATAACACAGTCTAGATTTGAAAGCCAACAGGCCTTTTGCGCGTATGTGGAAATTTGTAATTTATGAACTTGTTCAAAATTTACAAAACCTTTTGTAGACTTTACAAAAATTGATAATCATTTCTTCTGAGTGTTGTGAATTCTGTTTTCTCCAATTCTGGAAGCATCTTTTTGCAATTTACCCTTTTGATCTCTTGTCAAAATCTAAACACAAACACAATTCTGTGTTAGTATCCAATTTTTACTTCTTTAAATCCTACATTTGAGGGAATCAGTAAATCAAGACAGAATTAATTTAAACATCATCCCTTTCCTTCTCTGGAGCAGAACCTCAAACTGAAAGCTTTGTAACTGTCAAAGTTCTTACAAAATATTCTTTTTTGGACTTCATCAATCCTTTTTGGAAAACCATTTTTTTGTGCATCTTTGTGAGTGCGTTGTATGCCAAAATTTCCTGAGTCCAGTCCTGGATCACTCTTGTATTTTTTTTGGAAAGTGTTGTGCAAATTTTTACTGTGCTGAAAAACCCTGTTGATTGGAAAAGAAAGGTCTGCGCTATAGTGGGGAAATAATTCCCTGATGGTCGGTTTGCGCACTGACCAATTACTGTGTTTGAATTCTTGACTGTAAAAATACCCAGCATAATTAAATTTCGAAAATTTGACAAATCACATTTATTCTTTCAAGGTGTAAGGCTTGAATATTCAAACATGCTTTAATAAAACCTTACAGGGGATGCATGCCATACTTGATGGCACATGGTACTCAAGTAAATATGGTACAGTATATATATATATGTACAGTATATACAAACATATGTATATATACATACATATACAAACATATGTATATATACATACATATACAAACATATGTATATATACATACATATACAAACATATGTATATATACATACATATACAAACATATGTATATATACATACATATACAAACATATATATGACTGTACAGTATATACAGAACAACATATTCTCTTTATTCTCTGTTCTAGACTTCTATCCCAATGATTGAAACACAGAACTCTTATCCCCCATTGTTTGTGGAATAAATGCAGGGGGCTTTTGCTGCTGCCTCTGATGCTGGCCCTGGCTTTGACAGGACTGGTACTTGAATGCTTGGCTGGGACATTAAACAAAGCATGAGAAGGACTCTGAAACTTATGCTTTGCTTTGTTCTCTCTGCTTTTCTGTTGCGGTTGACCCCCATCGAACAACGAAATATTTGCTCTCAAGCGGGGGAAATCTGTCGTTTGACAAACCGAAATTGTTTCAGCAAACGTATCTCTATGCTGGTACGTGCTGGTATTCAATATGACTGCAACGAATTTTATATTGTACTGTAATGCAAATTTTCTGCCTCCTTCGTCATTAATACTGTACTCCTGTCATTTTTCAGTGTACGCAAAGAATATTAACAATTTATTTTAATTTGCAAGTGCATCTACACATTTTTCTGTGCATACTTTCTGAACTGTGACCATGTGTCTTGGATTGAGAAGCAGCTTCTTTCAGCAAAGGGAAAGAAAATTATGTATTCTTTTTCAAGATTTGCTCTTGATTTTCAGAAAACTCAATTGTAGCTTCCAAACAGCAGGAATTCTGATGAAAGACTGAAGTGTAAGATGTATCTTGAAATAGCTAAGCAAGCAAACTGTGCACAGCTGGGTTTGGAATTATAGAAACCTGCTTCATTCTGCCATAATTTTTTTTTATCTGGATCAACAAAATCCAACCCCGTTTCCAACAGAAAATTTCAAGTTCTATAGCACCTAAAAGTGTTTGCTGACTGAATCTGTTTTGGTGTGTATAAGGAAATGAAAGAAGTGCACTAAGTTCAAGTTTTTAAAAAATCGGACGAGAATAAGGAAATTTCGCTGAAAGGAATGTCACCCAGGTTTATTACGACAGCTATAGCCGAACAAATTTTCATATCTTGACGTGTTCTCTGGATAAAGCGGTCATTAATATTTACTCATCTGGAAATGGCCTATACTTTCCCGAATAAGATAAATTCTGCGGAAACCTCTTTTTTTTCCCCAAAAGGGAACCATGGCAAGTGGCCCACATCTCTTGAATGCTACTGACGAGAACTTCCCCATTTCAATCAATCACCATAGAAATAAAATTTGCCTCGAGCACGAGTCCCGTGCAAATACAGCAACACGAGGCAAAGAAATGAAGGGACCTATATTCCCTTCAAATGCGCACTTGCCTTGTTTGACATGCCCTTCATGTCTTGCCGTGTGTGTGTATTGCCTTCGGGACACACACACATATATACAGTATATAGGAGGACATATATACAAGCTTTCTTGTACGGCTTATTTCGATGCATTTATTTGGATTGGATGCAGCAAAGAAGGGTGAGAGGATCCCTGCTGGGCTTGGGTAAGACAATAATGATATCCGACGAGAGGATCGTGAAGAGGAAGAAAAAGAAAGGGGAGGATATATGAGGAAGTACAGTACAATTCAGTACTTTTTTGGGGTTGGTGGTGGGCATTTTCAAGCATTTCTTAAATTTTGATCATGTTCTTCTTTATGCATCAAAAAGTTTTCTTCTTGAAATGATTGTATAGTTGAACCTCTCCGAGTCAAATTTCTATAGGGACCAGGAACAAATTTTCAAATTAGGGAGACTTTGATTTAGGGAGGTTTTGATTTTTCTAAGTTCCAGTTAAGGAAATTTGTTGGGAGTAGAAGTATTTTTGATTGAAGTTCGGTCATGCGTACGTCACATTCATTCGCATTGCGGCGTAAAGGGATTTTTAAAATTTGTAGTTGATGTTTCCACCGTCTTAGTTTTATTATTCTTGAGATTTATTCCTTCTTTGTGCTAATGGGTGATTCAATTACCGGTAATATTTCCCATGTATGAGATTCCAGGATCAGGAGTGAAGATCTCATTCTGATGGTTCGGACGATGTGGGGATTCTTTCGAATTTGCATTCATCAAAAATGTTTCTACGATTATTGGGAAAGTCTGTGCGAGATTGCGATTTCTCCTGTCTCGTGAATATCGATGGATGTTTCGTGTTATCGGGATAACTAATTTCGCAGATTTCTTTGGCAAGGCGGGTTCTATGCCCGCTGTTTAATCCAGTACCACGAACCCTTGAGTAAGAGACGCGTACCAAACAGGGGGGGTTTTCAGTCGAAAATTTTGATGAAATGTGTACTGTATAAGACACGCACTCCAAGGGTCATGACACTAAAACTGCAATATTTTGAAGATAAGAGCGTCCAAATTTGAATTTAGGCATGACTTATTGAGCCTGAACTCAAGCACAGTATCATGTTCAATTGTTCCTATTATAAAATACGTTTTTCGGTTAAACTTGGTCCAAATAAATTCCCCATTAAAATCAATTATTTATACTTATGCCTAAACTTCTAAAACTGTTGGAAAAATTTATACCCGCATATATGACACGCACACCTCTTTTTTTTCTCAATTTCGAAAGAAAAAACGGATGAACTTGAATTAAAATGTTGTTTCATTCTTTGTTTCATTTATTGTGTGTTAAAATCAATTATTATACTTGTATACGAGTTATATTATACCTAAACTTCTAAAACTGTGAAAAAAATGTATACCCGCAAATATGACACGCACTCCTCTTTTTTTCTCAATTTCGAAAGAAGAAGACGGATGAACTCGAATTAAAACGTTGTTTCCTTCTTTGTTTCATTTTAAAATAAATTATTATAATTATACCTGAACTTCTAAAACTGTGAAAAAAAAGTTATACCCGCATATATATATATATATATGACACGCACTCCTCTTTTTTTCTCAATTTCGAAAGAAAAAACGGATGAGCTTGAATTAAAACGTTGTTTCATTCTTTGCTCAATTTATTGTGTGCTATATAGGCGAAAGGACAACATGCGGGAACGACAGTGCAATTGTTACCAGCTCCAGCTTCTTCGGGGATTGTGGCTTCTCCGACTGTGAAAGACTTGTTGAGACTCGCTGGGATCCAAGACTGCTACGTTGTCTCTTCATCAGGCAAGCCGTCTTCACCGGATTGCCAAGGTGAATCCTCTTGTGCCAAGTGAAATTTTCGTAATTGAAATTTGTTGAGTATTTAGGCATGCGTGGTACATGTACGAGTATTATGTATAGTTTGTGCCGTATTTAATTGAAAAGAGGTTGACTGTTTTTAGATTTTAGAGTTTATAGATTTCAATTTTTTGCAAACTTTGTAGAGTGGATAGGTACGACTGCAAAAAAAAAGATTATTTGCATGCTCTTGTGACGAGGTGCTGGGAATTAAAAAAAATCAAAGATATGCAATATTTTATTCAATTGGCTGTATGATAAGTGGAAAATTTCTTGTTACTGTTGCAAAAATAAAATAGCATCAATGAATTTGTCACACGAAATTAGAGAACCCAATTTCATGGGAGAATCCTCTCTTATTTAATCTGTGTGTGAATCTTCGAAAACCTTGATTCTCATGGTTCTCTCTGAGCCTTCAAGACTATATTTTAATGCCAAAATCCTGTTGCTGTTTTTTGTCTTTGAAGGACAGTTTTCCTGTTTCCAAATTGGAGACAATTTCATACATTCCAACTTGAGCATTTGTTTGTGCTGTTTCTTGGCAATTCTGCGCAAAAAATCTCTGTTTTCAAACTTAAAATTTTTATCAAAGTATACCAACCTTAAAGTAGGGTGATTTCTTACCCTGGTCGCAGCCCAACCAAAGTCTTTTGTTTCATTTCTCAAACGCTCAATCCATTTCTTGGTCTCAATTTAAAAAAAATCTTTATTTTTTGAGAAAGACTTCTTGACAGTTTCGGCTATAAAATCCTCCAGCACCCATGTCATGGGGTACTACACATTTTCAAGCCAGCAAATAGATTGAAGTTTGTATTGTTCTTTTAACCATTTACGTGTCTGCATTTCAGGTAATGGAGAAAACAACAAAGAAATTTTAATTTCCAGCTGGCCTGATGAAATATTTTTTGAAGTTAGAGAACTATGACCGTAAATAGAAAGTTTTCCACTTCTCATCATCAAGCAGTAAATTTAAAAGTTGTTGTAAAATTCGTTGAAAAAAAAATCCCAGACCCGTACAACATTTAATGTATAGGCTAAATTTGTTTTTTACCAACATACCTACTGTAGAAATATACAAGGTCGCGACCAAGTGGGACAACCCTCCTATTTACTCATTCAATTATAAAATGACAGGTGAGTGAAAAATTGAACCTGAACTTGTGAGTAAACAATTTAAAAGCTTTGAAGGGTTTCGTCCGTTTGCTTCTTTGTAATTCATTGAGAAAAAAGAAATCGTTCTCCTGGATGGGTGTAGTCCAAAAGCCCCCCCCCCTGCCAAAAGCCCCCCTAGGTCAAAAGCCCCCCTGCCAAAAGCCCCCCCCCCTAGGTTCAAAAATTGGGGATTACAGGTATTCTTGTAACTCTTGATGGTAAGCTGCACCTTTCACCAGCAGGCCCAGCACAAGGCCAAGTACCAATATGTTGGTAAGTTGAGTATATAAAGGAATTCTTCACCTGTGATGGTCATCAGTGATTCTTATAATTTCAAAGCATNGGGGGGGCTTTCCAGGGGGGCTTTTGACCTAGGGAGGGCTTTTGGTTGGGTACCCTCCTGGGTTCTTCAAATTAATTACTGTATGTAGTCTTTCTAATCTTGTATAATGCCTAATTTGTTTGAATTTTCTAATTTTCTCAGCAATGGCGACGTACGCGGCCCTTCGCGGGACGCGGTCGCCGGCCTTATCCTCGTCATCGCCGTCGTCCCTGTCGGTGTCGATGACACGCTCATCCTCGTGTGCCGTCCACACCCCGGTCACGTGTCCCTACGACCAGTACACCGACTACATCTTCAACAAGTTCCGGCCCACGGCTTCCGGTCCGAGGAACCGGCCGCCGTCTTCCTTCCGGTCCCCGGCGATCGCCGCCTCTTCGTCGCCCTGCTCATCTTCCGCCTCTTCCTCGTCTTCTTCGCGATTGTCCCAGGGAAACAGGTTCTTCTTCAGCTGAAGGTTCATCTCACGTCCGATATTGCCCCATTGTAAATAGAAAAGCCAGGAAGGAAGGAAAGAGGGAAGAAGGGGAAGTGGCTGATGGACCTTATGTATAAACCACTCCTGCTGGTATGTACAGTATATAATGCATTTGTCATCAAGTCTGTGATTGAATGAATGAACAGAACACTTTATTTGCCGCTTTTCAGTGTTCACAAGGTTCAATCAAGATTTCCAGAGGTTTAGTTGAATGAACAAATTAGAGAGCATCTTTGATGAGAAATCATATAAAGCCAACAGTTTATCTTGTGATTGAATTCCAGATTTTCTGTTTAAGCATTCTGCCCAATTTTGAGCATTTTTTTCTGTACTATACTGTGATTCTGAATTATGAAAACTGATAAAGGTGGTGCCTTGCAATTTGACCATCCAGCAATTTAATGGTCAAATTTGCTTGGAGGTCAACTTGCAATTTAACCTCTTTCCCAAAATTCAACCTGTTTTAGCCTCTTTTTCTAGTGTTTTTTGTGCTGTTTGCCCTTGATTTTATTGAGTGTCTTGCAATCCAACCCTAGTTTGGCCATGGATTAGGGTCAAATTGCAAGGTACCACCTGCATTCCATAAAAAGATCATGCTTAATTATCCAAAGGCAATTGTACTCAAAAAAATTACAGTTGAACCTCAATAACTCAAATCTCTGCAAGTCAATTTATTTTAAAGTCCCTCCCTGAATTTCCCTGGAAACAATGCTTGAAAAAACCTCTCTAATTCAAAGGCTTCCAGCCTCAAACCTCAGTAATTTGAATTTTCTGAAGGTATTTTGAGTTTTTGACTATTATTTTGATGAAACAATAAATATAAAAGCAATAAAAATGCAACTTGATATGTGCTTTGAAAATGAGTAAAAGATTAATTGGTCAAGTGAACCACTTCCTCCATGTTCAGCACTCCGTCATTTCATTCAAGGAGGAATTTAGGGCCCAGAATATCACCAATTACAATTTCCTGTAATTCTTCTTTCTGTCCCCCAAAAAAGAAGAAAAAATGCTTATTTCCCTCAATAGAAACTTCCCTAACTTGATTTTTTTTTGCTGGTCCCTTGAAGTTTGACTTGAAGAGATTCCCCTGTATTTTTATGGAGATATTTTGGCGCATTCATTTCTTGACTTGAAAACTAAATTTGAACAGCACTTGGAATCTCGGAACTTGTCCGTTTCTGCCGCAATTCCACGCGTAATCTTTAATCAATGCTTTTCAAATCTTCCCCGTTCATGTCTTTGTTCAAATAAACGATTAATTTATCTTCTGCTTCGGAAATTGCTCTTGATAAATGGGAATATCAATCAAGATGAGCCTCTTTTGCCTCCACGAGTTTTGAAAATAGGAAGCATTCTATCAATAAGAGTCGAAGACAATATAATTTTTTTCACATGGATGATAGTGCGTTTTTTAATCGCCATGGTGATTGTTTTCATGTAGCAATTAATATAAAATTCGAAAGCAATGAGAAGTTGTTGATTTGGACATCACACACCACATTTTACGAATGCTCTCGAATTTTTTTATTTTTCATTCAAACATGTTTCATCCAAAACAAGGAAGGGTCGAATCAGAAAAAGGGAAATCAGAATTCGATAAACGCAATTGAGATACACGAATATATATTTGGGAAGTATTCCGAAAACCGTAATTCGCACATCGCAGCTTTTCCTGCTACTTGAAAAAACAGCCTCTCTCTTTCAATTAGCAATTTTCCCAAAGGAAGCATCCAGATGCTTGTTAATGTCGTATACATCCGGCAATAACGATCTATAGACCTAAATATTTGGATGATAATTCAGGAGATATTGCTTTTGGAAAATTCGCCCACTTTTTTTTTTGCCAACTCCGGAGATCCTGGAGGAATCTTTTCCCGGGAATAAATTACTTTATACTCACATTAATCATGATTAAAGCAATATTTAAAAAAATGCAGCATTGTCAGAATTTTTTTGCATGCTGAGAATTAAAGGAAAAGCATGCAAAAATGTTCCCTTTTTTCTTTCACTGCTTATTTTCGTCGCGTTTCTTCAGTTTTAGTGGGTAATTTTCCCAGGACAGGAAGAAAAGAGGGATGGAGAAAAATGTTCTACATGAGCCAAAGAAGAAGTTCAAGCAACAGTTTTGTTTGTTTGTTTTTTTGTAGCGAAAAAGTGAGTCTCGTCCCTGGTAATGCAATTTCTTCCAGATGGGGTCATTTTTCCTTGGGAACATTTCTTGTCTTAAAAGAAAATGTCCGCGGGGGGTTCCATTAGCTGATGACTTTTCTCCACAGCTGTCGCACGTAATCACTTTCGTAATGAGTTGAAAGAGGTTTACAGCACAGGTATATACAGTAGGCGAATTTAACTCATTTAAAGCTCTCGAGTATCGGTGTGTGTCTCGGAAATTCCAGGACGTTGACGAAGCTATGTATACATTTATTTCCTTGAGAAATGCGGGCCATATATACTGCAGTCGAACCCCGTTAAGACGCCCCTTGATAAAGCACCACCCTTGGCAACTGCCAACATTTTGAATGAAACAAATCTCCTCAATACTAAATGCCATAGAAAGCCTCAATAAGATACCAACCCCCATCTGCCAGCATTAGTGATGAAACAAAAGTGCTGTTTTTGTATTAGTTTTGTCTTTGTTACAATGCCAACATTGGGGTACAATTATATTTTGTGTCCAGGATCTTGTATTGGTAAGAAGAAAAACAAAATGACCATCTTCATTTTTCAAAAACTCTGAACAATATATGAGACCTAATTTTAAAATTTAAATAAATTGGTACAGAAAAATTAATTTTTTGAAGGATTACCGTATTTACTTGGGTACCACATGCCCTTGAGTACAGCATGCAGAGGGGTTTTTGAGTTGGAAATTTTGCTAAAATCTTATTCCTGAGTAAGACGCGCACCCCAATTTTTAGTGAATCTGAAACCACAAAGTTTTGCAAATAAAAACATAAAATTGACTTCAGGCATGAATTGAACAAAAATCTCATCAATTTTCAACTTTTTCTTTGAAGAAACGTTTTCTTGTTACGTTTTCTCAAAATATCTCCAGTATAATCAATTATAATGCACACATAACTTCCTAAAACTTCTTGAAAATTTTGTACCCGCTTATGACGCGCACCCCTCTTTTTCTTCTGAAATTTGGGAAAAAAAGGTGCACATAGTACTCAAGTAAATACGGTATAATGGATAACTCAAGTAAATACGGTATAATGGATAAATCACAGCAATACTCTTTGGAAAATTATTGAAGTTTCTGGAAAACTTGTATTTCTATTACTTTTGAATAAGGAAAATCAAGTATTTTTGAACAAATGATTTAAAATGGAATATTCAATAAACCTCCAACCCCTTTATAAACCGCCAGAATTGCTCTGGACAAATGGTGGTTTCTTATAGGGGTTTGACTGTAGGAAGGATTTCCTTCTGCAATTCTGCTCCTGGCATCTGCGAACATCAAACATGGAACGTGCTTTGGAAATTCCATTGGCCCCATATAAAGGAAGCCTGTGTCGGAATCTGTGTTCATAATTTATTCATAAGTTGGACCCGGAGTTTGGCACGCTCAAAAGTGTTTTCAAATTGGGCTTTCAAACTGATAAACATCCAGGAATTAATAGGCTTATAGACAGTTATTGGAGTGCATAAAAATTTAAAAAAGAAGCACCTGTCGGGAAAATTTGTACATGAATTGCAAGAAAACCTGTTTTTTTAATGAGGCAGAATAAGGTTGCGTTGTGCTGATTATATACGGAAATTCCCATTTATTCATTACGGTAATTAAATTCATCGGATTTTATTTTTTTCTGACTTTGTCCTTCCTTGTTTTGGCAGATACATTTTTGGACAACAGTTTTTTTTTCCTCGAGGCCCTGCCCTCATCACATGTTTGCTTAGTCCAAAAACAAATTATAATTGCGTGTATTTCACTGGCTTATTGAATGGCGACGTGCTAAAAGTATCTTTCGTCTATATAAGCTGTGCATGAATAAGCCTTAGAATATTTTCGCTCTTGCTCTTGAGATAAATTTCTTACAATTTGAACATATACATTTTATAGTCCTATGATACTTATGCAATAGGCGGATCATTTCAACCCACATCAAAAATAAAATCTTGTCTACTGAAGAGCGGTTTTAATGAGCCATTTAAAAATGAAAGTTTATAAATATACACATATTTTTTGACTGGCATACATTGGATGGATATAGGAATCATTTTAACCACTTCAGCTCATGTGAATCAACAAAGAGATATTTTTCCAACGATTTTTTTTTTAATTGAAACCAGCAGGGCGATCATTTTCAAATTCAGAAGAATTTCTTGCTCATTGCGTGAAAATTTCAAATTTGTCTTTCAAAGAGATTGATGAAATATTTCAGCAAATTTTTTCTCTCTGATGTGAATTAAAAAAAATAATTTTTCATATTCTTTTCAACAGTTTCATCAATTAATCTTGGATTTTCCGCACCTCTTTTCCCGACGCCGGAGGGAATTTTCCTGAAGGAATTTTCGAGAAGCCCTGCGACATGCGGACATGAATGATGAGTGCCCACGTCAAAGCAGAAGCCGTGTATCATCTGTCAACCCACAGGATTCCCTGTTTTTTCTTTCTTTTTTCTTTTTGAATGCCTCCCTGCGTGTTTTTCAATTTTCCAGAGGACAAGATTGAATCCTGTTCGAAAGCAGGGGGCTTCGCAATTCTGTCAGTCTGAATAGTCGCTTATTTTTTCTTTTTTTTCTTGTGAGAAGATGAAAATATTTGGATTGATGATCTAACACGAAAATGTTTCCGTGATGTGGAATTTCCCCCTCATTTTTCATGTTGCTCGTTTTTTTTTAAAAGAAGTTTCAAGAATTGCATTCAATTTGTCATCATCAAACGTTGAATTCTCGCTCGAGATTCTAGAATTTTTCTCTTTGTCAAAATTTGTTTAAAAGTGAACAAAGAAATGGATTGCCAGTATTCCAACTGACGTCAAAAAAGATTTACTCCCGTTTAAAAAAATATTTTCTCGCTCTTCCATTTATACATGGTTGTTGAAATTTTATGAAATGTGATGAAAATTTCGTAGATTTCTCTCTTGTTTTGTATGCTAGTATAAATGTATAGATCATGATGTTAGTTCATATGTATGATATAATGAAGTATGAATCACTATAAAAGATGTGGGAAAGGGCGAAGTTTCATCTGCTTAGTGTACTGTGAATTTTGCTTTTACTGTGATCTCGAAGGTTTAATATTGAGAAAAATTGCACGAAGATATATATGGAAAGTGATAGGATTTTTTGGGGATTTTAATGCAAAGGGTTTAAGCAAAAACGTTGTGATTTTTTTTTCTTCGTCGAGATAGGATATCTCAAATTTCCATTTTCAGAATTGAGACATTTACTTGAATTTTTGCTTGTTTTTACTCGAAGGTTTCTCGTATAGAACTAAACACAAGTTTAGTAAAAGAATTATTTCTTGGGTTTAAGAAGCGTTTATATCTGATCTCGAATAGTCGAATTTTCCCAATTCATTGTTCGCATTTCTTTTTTCTATATTGGATTACAGTATTGTCGAGGAAAAGGGATTTTGATGAAAGTACGTGAAGAAATTTGCTTTCTTTCCGAGCGATAGAAATGAGTTTCATTTCGTGCAATACTCATCGTATTTATTTCCACTTCCGAATTTTGAAGAGATACTTTTCTCTTTCATTTCGTATAGTCATCATCAGCCAATCCTTGGCACACGCATTTGTATTTTTTTTTCACGGTGAACAACACAACAAACTATACCAAGATTGGCGAAAGGAAAATCTCTCGAACTTTTTTTCTATTTGACCGTATGTTTGTCGAGAGATACTTGAATTTGTAATCACAAGCAAAAGAATCCCGGAGGAGAGCGTACACGAGATCATTTATTTGAAGTTCTTCCATCTTATTCTTCCAAATGTACTTCATCTCTTGGATTCTTTTTATATAGGAGCTGAGTTATGAAGAGTGTGTGGGATTCGATTTTAGAGGTAACATTTGTAAAGGTAATATTTACATTACGTTACTGTTAACTATTTTGAAGGATGTGTGATTTTAAAAATGATGGTTCAATTTTCAAACGCCGGAATAAGTGCGAATATGCTGTAGTCGTTGCGAAGAGTTATTTTTAATGCATTGCCGTTTTTAAAAATCATTCATTAAATATTACTGTATATTCCAAATATTCGATACCCTTCTTTAATTCCTTGTTCACTGACGATTGATTTAATGCTTTTATCTGCCATTCGGATGCAATACTGATGTATAATATTCAGGGAAATGTGCGAAGATAAAGCTCTTCCATTTAGGAGAAGTGAAGTGTTCGTCATGAAGCGTCATCTAAGTAGAATACGAATAACTGACGGCGGAAGTATTGTATCGGTATTCCATGAAGTCATTGTCCTGTGTGTGATGGTAACTCCAATGAAGTAAGATCCTTCGATCAGTCGAAGAAAGGATGACAATAGGTGAGCAGAGTGGACATGGAACAAGCCTTGTAGCAACAAGCTTGCACGAGGTCATTGTGATTCCTTTTGGATGGTTTCGACGATGACAGTGAGGCAGATGATGCTGAACCTTTGGAGTTCCCTTCCCAGTCACTTTGATCACTTATGTAGTTCGAGCTTTCGTCTTCTTCAGTCACTGCGAATCGAATGAAACGTGATAATTAAGAATGCATCCACATTCAAGTACATATAGAACCCATAACATTTTAATAATGATGCAAGTATATGAAATACTCTGCTGTATTTAATAGAAGTCTCTCTATGTATATATACAGTACTGCATATATAGTCAAACCTCTTCATATAAGTCGAACATTTCAAGTGACCAGCAAAAAAATCAAGTAAGAGACGAATAATAATAAAATTGTTGGAGGTAAGAAAGATTAATTAAAGGATATTATAATTTGTGATATTCTATAGGCCTTAAATTGCATCTTGAATGAATTGACAGGATGGTGACACTGAAGGCATAAGGTTTTATTTGCCCATAAATTAGTGTTTGACTTTCCTTTCAAAGCCCATAATGTGTTACATCTTTCTCTTTCCTGTGTCAATAAAATAAAAGCCAAATTTAAGGCCCTTACAAAATTCGACTATATATGCTGCTGTAGCTATATACATAAGTAATTTGAAGGGGAAATGAGCCTTTGAGTTATGGAGATGATGAGGTTCATCTTAACGCATTGTTTCTAAGGGAATTCAGGCAGCGACTAGGAGAAACATTTGACAAAGGCGGGTTTGCGTTATTGAGGTTCAACTGTACTCGAAAAACGGGATATATTATATATATATATAGCAATATGTTTACTGTGGCACACGTTTACTGCGGAACGTTGAACTCCGAATGTCATGGACATCTACTAGAGGTACCAGAAACCCCCCGACAGCTCTTCCGCGTTTGAATTCTTAAAGTGTTGCTAGATGTCGTTCGAAGCCAAACGACACTCTGGAGCACGAATTTGTACTTCAAATAGTTTGCTTTCGCAAAATGTTTGCCATAGATACAAAAGTCCGAAATCCTACATGTACTGACATATTGTCAGAATCATGTTTGTGCTGCATGTCTAAAAAAATGCCTCGGAATTTTCTATATCTCTTGCATTATTTGGGCACCTTTGTTCAGCAAAAAAAAAAATCATTGCCTTTCAGCGAGCATGCTTCTTGAAAGTTTTTGAGCAAATAAGAGTCGAAGAAACGATCGTTTCCTGATGAGGAAACCTTGATGGATATGGCTGTTTTGATTTAATAAACTCATCAGGGAAGGAATTACTGATGTAGTTTCCTTTATATTCATTTATTTATATTTTGATAACTCACGGCTTCGTTTCGAGTCGTAGTCCTCCGCAGTCAAGCACGTATTCTCCAGGATGAGCAAAAGCGGCGACCCACAGGCCCTGATGGCACCTCCCATTTGTCGCTTGAAAAAGTGCCCATCACCAGAAGTCGCCGGCAAGTACCCATCGTCATTGAGAATAGCATCGACGGCACTGAGACGCTGACCGGGTGTCTGCCGACGGGTTTTGTCCTCGCTCATCGCTGCTCGTTGGAGCAAGAGGGGAACCCTGGGGTCGTCGCCGAGTTTGGCCCAGGCCGACCTGTGATGTAACAGAGCAGACACCCTGTTGTTGTTGTTGCCGTTATTGTTGTTATTATTGGTGTTGCCGGCGTCTTTCCTATTGTCCGCTAGATGACGCAAGATGTATTTGTCGCTGGTGGACGCGTCGTATTTGCTGCTGCTGCTGAGGATGGGCTGCGGGGATGCTTGCAGCAACAAGAGCGTCCATGACAAGAGGACTGTGGCCAGGACGCGCGGGAGTGGGACACGTTGAGCGGAAACGCTGGTTCGCATTGTGATTCCTGCTGCTGCCTACTGTGTTACCTGCGGGAAAGGAAACAAATATAATATTGTTGCAGCAAATCCAGTTTTTAAAAAAAAATTGAGAAAAAATTTAAAACAAGTGCAAATTTAGTACAGTATATACTGTATTTTTAGAATTAACTTTGCAGCAGGGACTGTGAAGCAATCTGATGTAATGATATTTCTTTGAAAATTTCAGTTTTTATACAAGATATTACTGTATATCCTTGTGTATACTCTATACTGTAAATGGCAGCCATCCCAGAGAAAATGTTCTTATGATGAAATATATGTTAAGTATAATTATGTCTGTAATTTGATCCCATTAACTGCCAAATTTCCCATAAACTGCCAAACAGCAGGTGAGCACTGATATTCTGCTCAAACGTTCCCTTTATATCTAGATCGGCTGGGACACTAGAAAAAATTAAACTCCACATTTTTTGTCAAATATGTATGTAAAATTTCTGCTTTATCAAGAAATGGAGATCATAACTTGTATTTGCAGGAAGCACCTGCTGTGCATGAAGATGAGCTGGCTGCACATTGTAGCAAATTATTTTGTCCTTATTTTCTAAATGTTTTATTCATAAAATCTGTGTATGAACATCTATTTTGATTCATCAATTATGCTAGAATATGACCAGTAAATTTCTGAGATAATGCTACAGCGAGGGTGGACCAAAATGAATAAGGGAATCCATTTTTGACTCAAAATTCCTTGAAAGAAACTTGAGCTCTGGCAATGAAAAAAAAATTGTTCATTATTTGTGGTGTGATCCTTGACGTTTAGCAGAAAAAAACATTTGACTTGAAGTGAGGTAATGTATTTGACTTAGGGAGATTTGACTCATCAAGATTCAACTGTATTTGAATCCTTTTCTGGTAATACAATGAAAATAAATGACACACATTACTGCAAAAGCCTTCCAAATTTTTGGTAAAAATTTCAAAGCCCAAATAACTGAACCTATAGACATTCAAAAGTTTATTAAAAACCTCCTAAAAACCCATTTCCAAATAATTCAACATTCCATTGTGGGGGTTAATAAAAGGTCCTAACGTTCTGCATCATGAACCCAGTGAACCCACCAAAAAGCGGGATGTTTGATGAGGTCTGTATTATTCACTCAAGAAGAAATATAAGGGAAAATAGGGAGAAAAAAAACATAGTCTTTTTTCCCAATTAAAGCAGCTGAACAACAAAATCAGAGCAAACGCGTGTGGGTGCATCCACACGTTGCGAGTGATTTTTCCTTCACTCATCATCGTTGGCTTGTTGGTAGAGAGAGTTCTTCCTTGTTTTCGGACGAAAAGGGGCTGCGACAAAGTTGGGTTGATTGTTTCCGCTTTTCTTTTTATCAATTTTGCTTCATGAATAACTGTGAACAAAATTTGTCTCATCTTATTGGCGTTGATTCTGATAGAGGAGACATTTTACTCAGTACAGTATCTGCTGGGATTTTGTTTTCTGGGACAAGAATACATATTTAGTTGGCCTTATGGTTTCATATAGGTATATGTGTACAATGGAAATCATGAAGAAACTTAATGCCACTTGCAAAAAAAAAATATTGCACATGAGGAAATTATTTTGTCTGCTGGGAATGCTGGGTCATCTGCATGTCGGTGCTTGTATAGTTCAGGTGAACCCCAATAACTCAAATCTCCCTTGAAGTTAAAATTTTTTTTCAGGTCCCCATCTGAATCCCCTCAGAAACAATGAATTAAAAACCTCCCTAAGTCAAAGGATTATCCCCTCAAACCTTCATAAATAAAATTTTCTATGGCTGTGGCCATTATTTTCTTGAACCAAGAAAGAAGAAAGCTATAAATACAGAAATTTGTGCATTTTAAAGGAAGTGAAAGATTTAATTGGGCAAATGAACCCCTGCCTCCAAGTTCAGCATCCTTTCAACTCATTCAAGAAGATGTTTAAGCCTCAGAATATCATCATTTAAAATTTTGGACAATTTTTATAAGTTTCCCAGAACAAAAGGGCTCCGTATTGTAGCTCAAACCTCTGTTATTCAAGACCTCTCTAAGTCAAAACCTCCCTAAGTCAATTTTTTTTGCTGGTCCCTTGAAATCAAACTTGTAGAGGTTTGACTGTACTATATAGATATGGTACTGTTGCTCACAGCCCACAGGTGAACCTCATCAAGTCAAACCTCCCTAAGTCAAATTCCTCGTTAAGTCAAATTTTGTTCAAGTCCCTGTCTGAATTCCCTTAGAATCAATACATTAAAAACCTTGCTAACGGGAAATATTTTTCTCTAAAACTTCTGTAAGTTGAATTTTCTGAGGCCTTCTGGTTATTATTTCTGTGATATATGAAAGAGAAAATGGTTAAAACAAATAATTTGATGCATCATGAAAGGAATTGAAAGACAAATATTGCAGATGAACCCCTGCCTCCAAGTTCAGCAAGGTGTCATCTCCTCAATTAAGGAGCAAGTTTTGGCCCAGAATATCCTCATTTACGATTTCCCACACTCTTTTTTTTTTTTACTTCTCCTCCCAACCAAAGTGTTTGTTTTTCTTCAACAGGAAACCTCCAAAAATTAAAACCTCCCTAAGTTTAATTTTTTTTATCCTGGTCCCCAGGAATTCAATTTACGGAGGTTCAACTTTATCTGCCCTTCTTGAAATATGAGAGGAGAAAAAAACTTGACGAAACACCCCCCGGTGACAAAAGGAAGTTACGTAACGCCTTTTGCTTTTTCAAAACGCGTCTTATTCTTTTCCCGCAGTTGTATTCCTTGTGTGCTTAGTGTCACACACTAAAGAATAATGAATGATGATACGCAAACACACACTCGAGCTGCTCGGCATCCCCCAGGGAGAAAATAACAAGTAGCTCGGGTGTCCCGCTCATCATCGCTTTTCTTTTTTTTCTTGTTTTTTTTCCCCCCAATCGTATCCTTCAGCAGTTATTCACTTCACTTCAGTTCAGTTCATCGGGATCTTATACTCACTATACATGCATGAACACTTTGACAAATATAAGAAAAATGAAATGCGATGTGCTTGGATGGGGAGAAGGTCTGAATTTTTTTTTTAGAGCAGCTGATTTGGGGGGAGAAAAAAAAGGGGATCATCAAAAGCTTGTCCCGCTTATTATTCTGGTTAGAGTTACTGTTTGATTGTTTCATATGCTCTGTTGGCTCTTTTTTTGTGTCAAGTTTACTAATGAAAAATAGCAGTCTGATGCATCAAGTAGTTGAAACAAAAACTTTGTTTTTTTGTATATAACCAGATAAAACAAGTGCGATTTTTTTTCTTCCCCAAAATTATACTTCCAGCATTGATTCGTATCTTGAAGAATCCTCATAAAATTTTTTTCCGAATTTCATCCGCTGCTTTTTGGAAAATTTTCAAAAGGGACACGGATTTCGCGGACAAAAATTCTGGTTACAGTACTGTTGATCTGACTTTCTTTAAAACTTCACTTTTTTTAAAGTGATATGAATATACTGTAGTCTGACGATGAAGCAACTGTAAACGAAAATTGGCGATTTATCGAAAGCTGCATGAAACTAAGTCGCCGTTGTTCAGAGCAAAAATGTCTGCGATGATCTTTGTTGAGATGATTGTTGAGATGATGAGATGATCTATGTTGAGATTTCACCCTTCAGTTTAACAAACTAAGTTTTAAAAGTTTTTTCTTTATTATATGAGCAAAAGATCCTATTTCTCATGTCATGGCATGTGCTCAGCTGCTGATGATTGTTTGACAATCTTGAAGGCTTCTGTGCACTGTATTTGATATTGAAGTCAGGCTTGAGGATTCAACCAAACAAATTAAAATTGCCGAGTCACAAATCACACCATTCTGGATCACCGGTATATTTAATGTTCAATGTTACAGAAAACTTTCAACGTTAATGAGGCTTCCGCGACGAAAAAAAAAATGTTCTCTTTTTGAAAAAAACTCCACATAGCTAGACTTGACTACTGGAACTCGAAAATTTATATTCGAAGAGGGAGAACGTTTGGCAATTTATTCCGAGTCAAGTATTTTCCGTTGAGGCTTTTATAATTTTTTTTTACTGCATTTAAAAGGAAAGGTAGCAATGAAAATGTGTTATTTTTCTTAGAAGTGATGAAACGCTCGCGATTTCTCGTTAAATTTGAAATTTAACCACGTTAAAAATTCATGTCTTCAATTTTTCTACTTTCTCAAGTTTGACTCGAAAGAAGACATATTTTTTGCCTCAATATGTTAATACCGCGTGCATTAATTGACAAAAGTAAAATTTGAGACACCCATTAGACATGGCATCTAATAGACATCATGAGAAATGGGATACCGTGATGAAGGGTACTGTACATCAGTATATAGACTTAATCTTTTCCTGAGGATTGCCATCTATGTACAAGTAATTTCAAAAGATGCCTGCCGCAAACAGTTTTTTTTGTTTCCCGACACTTTTATTTATTTTTTCTGTTGTTGTTTCAGTCGCAGTTTTATTCTCCTGACTATCCTGAGACAGGAAACAGCTGAGCGTCACAGCTGTTGAGGATTTGAAAACAGCAGGTCGCGGGGGAGGCTCCAAAATATTTTCTTTCTCATATGTCTTTTCGCAAAGTTAACAGGATTTTAGTTTACTTTTTGCGGAAACGTCATTCTAAACGGAAGTACTGTACTTTGATCTCTTACATGAAACTGGACAATTTTTCATCGAAGAAACCTTTGCAGAATTATCCCAGGAATGATTGGAGTGGAATTTCAGAGGACAGATGGGTAATACAGTTGAACCTCTCAAAGTCAAATTTCTAGAGACCAGGAAAAAAATTCAACTTAGGGAGGTTTTGGTTTTTTTGAGTAAAGAAAACAAACATTTTTGCTGCAAGGAAAAGTAAAAAAAAAATTGTAGGAAATTGTAGATGACAATATTCTGTGCCTAAATAACTTGCTTCTTAATGAGTTTACAGCTTGCTGAACTCAGAGGCAGGGGTTCATTTGTTCAATTAGTCTTTCACTTCATATCAAGATGCATAAAATCATTTGTTTTATTGATTTTTGACTTTCATATTTCAAGGAAATAATAACCAAAAGACCTCAGAAAATTCCACTATCAGAGGGTTTAGAGGAAAAGACTTTGAGTTAGGGAGGTTTTTAATGCATTGTTTCTAATGGAATCCAGACAGGGACTTGAAAAAAAAAAAACATTTGAGTTGGGCAGGTATTTGACTTTGGGAGGTTTGACTTAGCAAGGTTCAACTGTATAACAAATGAAAAAAATTTCAGAGGAACTTGTAATTTTCAAAGCACAGGATGGTTAATTAAAATAATATAGTTTTGCTCCAGAAACCCTAGTAAACTTTTAGAAATCATTCAAGTCCCGCAATGTGGGAAAAACAAATTCCATCTCATCGCTTGTTCGAAAACATCCATATCTGATGGGTTATATAATTTTAAATTTCACTCAGAGACGAAGTGTTATCTTGATGTTTCCTGAAAATTTTTGAAATGAAAAGGATCGTCTTGGGTAGATTCCACATCATGATGGAAAACGAGAATTCTCTTGTATGGACATATATGCTTTCATGATAATATCTCAGAAGTATTTTATTTATGAGACTATTATAGATTCCAGCCCTGAGATGGGGGCGTTTTTTCTTCTTCTCGAAGTTTGTCAATATTTTTTAATGTCCCGATATTATTGGCTCATATTTTCCCATTTACTTCAATGCTGGGAATTACAGGGAATATTTCAAACCTCTTCTCAGCATGTTTTATAGAAATGCAAAAAGCTAGATACAATTATTTTTCAAACTTTAAAGCATAAGAAGTGACTGTTCGGAAAAAAACCTCACACAATCTGACTTATTTATGGTGTGTGAAAATTAGTCCAAACGCAAATAACCAAGCTAGCACACAAACAGTTATTACTATACTTTTCAGAGTTGGATGGAAAAAAATTAAAAGAGAACTGCAAAATAAACTTTTTCTGGAATAAAGCAAATTAGAGCAAATGCATGATCATTATATTAAATTTCAATTTTATATCAATTATATTTGCTCAATTTTCTCAACAGGCATCCTATTATTTTTTCTGCAAAAATTTGGAAGCGTGTCCATAATTTTGGCCATCTCCATCATAATGTTGATTGCAGAGGCTCTGTCAATATTTTGGGGCATATTTTTCAGTTTCAATTTTCCTTCAATTAGATTGTCAGCATATTTAGGGGTTCCATGCATTGGGTTCATATGAACTCTCCACTGTATAAATAAACTAAGGAAATCTTTTTTGGCCTAAAATATTGCATCCTAATGCAATTTATCCAGCAGATACGAAACAAGGACGAAATAAAAAAAGAACTGATGATTCTTTTCTTAGCTTCACCCTGGGCCATGCAAACAGGAGGAAGTCCTCATCACAGTCAACAATGTTTACATGAAAGGACTCCATTAAACCGAGTCATACCAGCAATGCTATTAGGAAAAAGTCAAGGTTGATACAAGGGTTCCCCCTTTTTCCATTCCAGCAGTGGAATGGATGATGGTAACGAAAATAAACCCATCTCTTGTTTCCCTCAGCCAAATATTTTGCAGAAAATGCATCATTTGCACTTGAAAGCAAAACCTACACCCTAGAATACAGCCATTAGTTTCTTCACTTTACTTTCTGCCCCATTATTTGACAGCATGTTTCCTTCCCATTTCCTGTACTTCCTGAATTTAAGCACTTTTCTTGGTTAGACTCAGGTTATACAGTTAAATCTTGTTACAACAAACTCCTGGGGACCTGTTAGAAAATTCTTTATAATGAAACATTTGTTGTATAGATATTTTTGGTTTTGAACACATTTTAGACTAAATTTTTACGTGAAATGGGCATAACTTACCTTAAATCGCGTTTGAAACAAATCATTCAAAACTTATCTTAATTAGTGAGGGCATTGTTGATGAAATAAGGTAAAACTTTTGAAATAGTTAGTAATTTTCTTTCATTAAACTTTTAAACCAGCCTTTGAATACAGAAATGTTGCTTTTCTTGAAAAATAAAATGGAACAAAATTAAATGTGGTAGAAATACTGCACTTCCCTCTGAGTAATGCACACATCCACTCATACCATTCTGTCTGCTCTTTGAAATAATTTTTAAATGTACCGTTCATTTCAAAGAAAGGCATACTTTCTAAAATGGAGCTGAAGATTTTCCAAGAAATGTTTGATCTTGTGCATTTTTGGAACACCAATAAGTTTTCTCTGCAGAAAATTTTAAAAATGAATTTAGCATGCTGTATGTTTAAAATACTGTACTTCCAAGTTTTCTGCCATTTATCAAAGAATTTGTATGATCCCTATATGGCCTATGCTGAACAGAATCATGGCCAAAAATTCATTATAATGAGATTATAGCCTAAATTAAGTTTGTTGAAATGAGATTTTTATAACATTGTGGCTATGGGAAACTGCCAGGACCAAGAGAAAAATTTGTTGTAATGAAAAATTTGTTATAACAAGATTTTTTGTATTGAGATTTTACTGTATTTCCAGAAATTGGGAAAAATATATAGCCTTCTGTCAAAACAAGAGAAATGACCTTTTCAAAAAGGTTGAAGATTTTTAGCTATTTGTAGATTATGTGTAGAAAATTGAATAAAAGTGTGATCAGATTAAGATTTAAAAAATAAATAAAATGACTGGATGCGATGCATTGAATAGCTCACATAGAGACTCGCATCAAGAATAAGTGCTGAATCATTATCACAGTTCCATTTGATGAGTTGGGGGTTTTTTATTTTATTTAAATAAGAATTTGATAAATTCACACGCATCATGTTCGAGGTAAATATGAGATCAAATCACAAATGATGCATCACTCAGAATCGAAAATCCTGATGCAACGAATTTCAGAAGCATTTCTCGTTTGAAGAATGTGAGGGCGTTTACATTTACGCACCTATTGACAGTATCCCTCTCAAAACTTGTATTTTCAGAAGCCATTCATGCACTGTACCAGGAATTGCAATATTGAAATACATTCAAAGAATTGTTGATCCCAGCAGCACAATAAATTCATAACGAATTCCTCGAATTGCTGAAATCCTACGTCTGCTATAAAGTGTCGAGTGTAATTTCTTAGTTCATTATTATTATTCTACTAAAATATGTCGGATGCGCAAAACATGATTCAAAGACAAATTTAAAGTACATATGCTTATGTCATTTGTAAATTTTTGATCTTCTGTCAATAAAAAATTATCAGCAAAAATTAAATCTCCAATGTAGTGAAAATTTTGAATTATCTAAAGATGGAAGTATATAATATAAATGCCGATTTCAATTCGAAAAGGCTAATGACATTATTTTCAGAAGCATCTTTTCAGATTTCTATCATCGATTCAAAATGGAACAGAGTATCGTTTTTAAAATACGTTAGACATTTATTAGAAACTATCAGCGTTTTGCAAATGATAAATTCAATTGATTTATGGCTCTTCGTTGTGACAACTTCACGTTTTCAGAAAGTTGAAAATTTTAGAATCTATGAACTGATTTCTTAACCGATTTATCATCTCTAAAAAGTTTCAGACAAAGTGAAAATTTCCAGTCCTCGTGAAATATTCGTTTTAAATATAGTAAAGGCCTACATTTCTTCGAAGTTAGCAAACAAATTAATGAAATCCATGAAGATTGACGAACATAAAAAACGCTTCACGTGGGAGATAAAACAAGATGAGTAGCATTTATTAGACTAAATAGAGCAAAAAAAGGAGAATAGTTATCATTCTCAATTTTTTCATTAGAAGATATCTGGATTCAAGATTTAGCGAAACAAAGCAAGAGAAATCAAAAGGACCTTTTGTCAAAAAATGTGATTAACATTCGTCAATATTTGTTTTAGATTTCAAGAATATGACAAATGAAAATATTAGCGAATACAAATTATAAAAGCACTCAATAGTTATTATTCACGGATCCACGAAGCCAGATATAATTTCAATACCAACTTTACAGTATTTGTATACGAATTCTTTTTCTGTTGTTGGAACTAAACTATGCGATTTCATTAGACTCAAAGTTAACTTAATTTCACAAATGTTGAAGATTCCATTCCGATATCAATAATACATCAGGTAAATTCGAATTGAAGCCATTATTTTGACTGCCTTATACCCGCAAGATTTTTGACATTTCAAATTTAAACTGCATTTTTAGTCTAACACTTTTGTTTGGATAGCTACGTTTCATGCTTTTATACGCCATCGAATATATGCGACTCAATTGTCGTCTCTGTTTTAGCCATTTTTTCAACAAAAAAGTGCGTATTATTTTTGAGTAAATACGGTATACAGCACTGAGTACAAAGTATTTCAGAAAATGTTTGCATGTTACTCACGGAGAGAAGATGAAATTTTGCCGGACGGAAGGTCAATGAGGTCGACCAGATATGCTCCAGTTCCTGATGCAAATTGAACCAGATCGAATCGTCCCGTTTTTCTTGAATCAAATTTTGCAGTTTTTTTCTTCCAGGAATGACCAGAAAAATTGAATTTTCCCAGTTCTCGACAGCGACTGCAGATATATTCTTCCCAATTTCCGTCGAAGGGTTTTTTTTTGGTGGGTCAAGATCGACACGAAAATTGCGAAGGAGTCGTCCCACGTTTTTCTTTGTTCTTTCGTCGAAATTTTTTTTTTTTGATAACGTTTATGTGTATTTTTTTTTCAAGAGAAAAAATTTTTGCAAGTGTTTTTTTTTTCGACTCAAAAGCACACAGCAGGAAGGTTTATTGGAACGACCCTCGCCTTGTCGCGTCGAATACGAGACCGAGCCTGCGGGTCCGTCGACGTCGGGTTTTTATACAGCAGCATTCGACAGTGACGAACCCGCCCGAGCAGCAAGTGACACAAGCGTCGTATACGTGTCGCTGTGCATGATGACGAGGTCAACTGGGATTTTTGGCCATTTTTTCCCCTGCTGTGTTTTTTTTTTTGGAGCGAAATTGAGGCATGATTTTCCGCTTCAGATGGTCACGATTAATCTGCATATGCTGGTTATTGATGTGTAGGTTTTTTGATGAATGATTTAATCTTTGACGGGTGAATCAGGATTTGACGAGTTGTTGTTTATTTAGAGAGACGATTTATTTTGGCTTTAAGATGCTGAAGCTCTTGGATATAGGAAGAATGTTCTGGAAACTGCGGAAATCGGATGATGCGTTATCTATAGAAAGTGTTGTTGCAGGTTATCGCAGCTCTTTGACTCACGTCTTGGCGCTCTTTGTAATTTCACGGTTGTCTTTAAAGATGAAATATAAATTGAAAAATAATGGTATCAAAGGTTCAAGCCGCGTAGTCGAAGGTTTAGAAAATAAATAGGAAATGTTCCAATAATATTTAATTCCTGTAATTTATATTTCATCATTAAACCTATTTTATCCTTACAGTTTGTGAATTTTTTTTACATATAAATGTGAAACTGGAAAATTTTTTCATGATTCGTGCTGTGATTTTTGACTTTTTGCAGAAAATAGCACAGAAACAAATTATATTGAAAATGCGGTGTGTTTGGGTGTGTGAATATTCTTGGCTGCAAATAAATATTTGTTTACTCAATTAATTCAACAAAGCAATTGCGCATTATTCTTACAATACATTCTTTTGAACAATGTGTCTAATTATTAAATTTTGGATTTTTCTCTTATACAGAATATTTCAAGTGCAACACAGAAGTCGATTTTTCGTTTCAGTTGTCGCAAAGGACAACGAAAATATTTAAATGATGGCCAATATTTTTTTTCAAAGCATCATCAATCAGAGTTTCACGAATTCTGCAGTGAATTTCTCAGTTTAAGTTATTTAAGTTTAAGTTTCATTTTGGACTTATTGAGCCCGAAAATAAAATTAAATCCTCATGGCTTTAAAGTACTAATAATATCTGTCAAACTTTTTAGGTAAGAATATTTTCATTTTACCCAAAGGAACTCTCGTCAAAATGATGGTCTAAAAAATTTACCTATTGAACTCATCATTAAACTTAATTTTATTTGAGGAATTTATTCTTTTACTAACACGAAAAACGAGTACTCCAAGTTTCGCTAATACTGTGTGTCTTGAAGTCGTAAAGACTTTAATTTCAGAATTTCATTGTTTCATGAACTCATGACTTTCGTTATCAGTCTTTCCGTGCGTATACCTATATATTATAAACTATTATTAAAGAGTAAATCAGTCATAGGAAACCATCATGTTGCGTTAAATTGTATATGCATATTTTTGTCCACGTGACACCACTGGCAATGATGAGTCATCTGGTTGTGACAGGAATAAAATGAAGCATTTCTTGCGGAAAACTCATCACTGCAATCTGATGATGCACATATTTGTTCCGTAGGTTAATGCTACATAAATTTCCTGATGAATTGGCAAATGGTTCTCCTTTGATGAAAGCATTTAAAAATAAATTATTGCATGATAAACAAGGTGCTGCGAAAAGCAATTTTCCGCCTCGTCCGTTCCAACTTATAACTTGTATATACACATTTAGACAAGTCAATGTCGTTTCGTTGCTGTGCTGAAAGATATTGACAGCAAAATGTCGCAGGTAATGTCAACATTGGATACAGCAGTTCAGATTTGTTCGAGATTCCTATTAAGATGCAGCAGTTGGGTATGCATGATAATGCCCAACGATAAATTGAGGTATTTTTGCACAAAGTTTTCCTTGGATGAGAGGTAGATCTCATCACCTGTTGTTTTTCCTGGTTTCTCGCACATTTTAAGCAGAATGTTCAGGAAATGATGCATCTGAAGTATTCTGGAATTTTCCATTTTCTTCTGAAGTGTTATTTTACATCCTGTTGATTTTGTACCACCAGGTAATTTGTTCCATTTTGAAGATTCATGAATATTATTATTAGTTTTATTGAGTAAATCAGGTTCTGCATGGACACAAAAAAGAGAACATGACCACCAAGTTAAAAAGTTTTTTTATTTGAAAAAAATCATTTGTCTGAAAAAGGGTTGCTTATTAGAACAGAATTCTACCTCATCAATGAAAATATCACATTTTCCCCAAAACTAACATTGGTTATCTTGCAGGACAAAGCCAAAAATATATATGCAGTCAATTCTCAATTTAGTGCCACCCTTACATAGTGCCACAAATTTCCCTGGTACAGATCTCCCTCCATTATGATCTTTATGAGAACCCCAATTTAGTGCCAATTCACCTGGGGCCAACAAATTTCTGTTCTGTTTAAAACATTGGGCAGAAATGGAAGTAATCCAGGCATTTCCCCAGCCAGAAGTTGGATTATCAGACTTTCAACTGAGAATATCACATCCCCATGATGACATAAAATTCAGGATTAATGTGAAAATCTGTTTTTGAATTTACGTCATTGAAAAAGAGTTCTTGTTGCATATTACCCTCTTTAATTGAAAATAGAAAAAGTGGAAGTTTTAGCAGAAGCATTGGTGATTCCTTCATGACGGAACTTTATTTAAAACTAACCCAAATGCACACAAAATCTCAAAAAACAGCAGTAACCTTTTACTAGATGTTACATACATTTAAAAATCTATTACATTCTGCCTTGATACATATTCTGAATTAAAATACAAAAAGCACCTTTGATGAGCTTCAAAAACTATTTAATTGGGTTTTTTCTCTGATAAAATACCCAGATTGGCATAAAATTTCTTTGAACAAGCTTATTTTTCCTACAATGGAAACCCTGAAGTTGACCTCTCTCACAATGTTATGGGACTTAAATCATGGTGGGAACGGATATGACGGTGTTTTACGTGGTACTGTTTGTCACCGTGTCTTAAAGTCAAACTTACAAAACACAAAAAACACTATTGTTTGCTTAAGATTGATATAGTTATTGCTTGAAATAGGATTCTACCTCATTTTTTTTGCATGAATCAAGTAGTAGAGCATCTGCAGTGCAGACAAAAAAACAACAACAAAAATGAAAAAACGATTGCTGAAGTGGGATTCAAACCCACACCTGCAGAACCAGACTGTGACCTGAACACAGCGCCTTAGACCACTTGGCCATCCTGACAATTTAATGAACTGGTTGCGTTTTTTTTCATGTAAGAAACAAACAGTAAACAAACAGGCCACAGACACACATTACAGGACGTCCTAATTATTCCCCCCCCCCCCCAGACCCCTATAGGATCCTACTGGTGGTTCCTCCCACTGTGGATGTTAAAATACAGTTGAACCTCTCAAAGTCAAATTTTGAGGGATGGCCAGCAAAAAATTGACTTGATGATTAAATTATTCAGGTTTGAGCTACAATACAAAGCTCTTTTGTTCTGGGAAACATAGAGAAATTTCAAAAAAATTGTAAAATGGTGATATTCTGGGGCTAAAATTGCTTCTTGAATGAGTTGAAATGATGCTGAACTTGTAGGCAGGGGTTATTCATTTGCCCTATTAAGTCTTTCATGTCCTTCTGAAATGCAACAATTTCTGTTTTTATTGTTTCTTCTTTCTTGTGTAAAGAAAATAATAGGCAGCAGGCCACAGAAAATCCAACTTTTATAGAGGTCTGATGGGGGAAAACCTTTGATTTATGGAGGTTTTCAATGTATTATTTCTATGTGGATTCAGATGAGGATCAGAAAAAAAATTGACTTTGGGGAAATTCAACTTCTTTATAGGGAGGCTTGAGTTGTCAAGGTTCACGTGTAGAAAATTTTTCATGAATACCATACAAGTTGCCTTTAAAAAAATCCAACCCTCAAAATTGAACTTATAACACAATATTGTCAAAGTATGGCAAGAAAACCGCGGCGTGCGCTTTTTGCCTTTGGTTCCACCTCATTACCATATCATCACACATATGCGTGGCTCATTTGCTCCCAAGTGCGCGTATGCGGAGCAAAACAGGAGCAAAAAACAATACAATAACACGACAATCAAAGACAATCCCAGAAAGAAAGAAATGAAAGACAGAGAGAACAAACGAAAGAAGGCTAGGAAAAATACTTTTGCATCATCATGATCATTACTGTCATCATCATCATCGTCCTTGTTGTTATGGTTGCCATATATCCTATGTAGTCCGCTTTCGTCAGCGTCGGCATAAATTACTCTGCAACGCACAAACTTCGCAGAAGAGCTTCCAGGAAGAAAACACATACTTGTACATATATATATTTACATATATAGAGTCGCAGCGTGATACAGTGACATCATCCTGAAATTGGAAGAGGCCAATCCCATCACAGTGGCTTTTCTTTTGCCGCTTGCGAAGATGTTTTATGTTGGTGTCACACACTCATGTATAGTACAGTACGTACACTACACTATATATACACAACATACAGCTTAGTCATGATGGGAGATATTGAATTCCCACCATATCCAGAAGCACGTGCGATGAGGATCTTGACTTTAAGAACCAAGGCGAGTTTATAATCCTTGAGGGTTGGTAAAGTGATATATAAATTTTTCAAAATTTGCTTCCTCCAAAAAAAAGGGCCTGCTTTTAAAAAATCCCGCCAAGTGAAAATTGGGGGAACCCTTCCAGGTACTTTCCTGTTATCTCAGTACCTACTTTCCTGTTATCTCAGTACCTACTTTCCTGTTATCTCTGTACCTTCCCTCTGACCAATTTAACCTGACCTAGCCTAACTTCACCTAACCGCCTCCCAAAATCAGTTTCTGCTTTCTTTGGGTTTCTGCTGAAACTGATTTCAAGAGGTGGTTAAGTTAGGTTAGGTCAGGTTATGCTAGTTACAAATATATTTTAACTAACATAACCTGACCTAACCTAACTTTACCTAACCACCTCCCAAAATCAGTTTCAGCAGAATAATAAAAATAAAATTCACAGTCTCTGGTAGGTTGTTGTGATTATATGAACTTATCCTAAAAATTTCTCTGGATGGTAGTGAGGTCTAGGAATGAGGTACTGAGATAAAATTCACAGTTTCTGGTATGTTGTCATGATTATGAACTTGTCCTAAAGATGTGTCTGGATGGTAGTGCAGTCTAGGAGTGAGGTACTGAGATAACAGGAAAGTACCCAATTCCCAACATCTTCTCACAAGCATGAGAATATATGAATAATATTTTGCAGGAGGCCATTTTTTCTGCATTCTGCCAACATGATTCATTTGAGAAGTCATCAAAAATAAAAAAAGCTTTTCAAAATGTAATTGTGCCCACTGATTCAAAGATACTTTTTGATGAAGTACACTATCTTGAAGCAGTATAGTAAAGTGTAAAATTTGTAGAGTCATTCTTCATAAACACCAGTTAAAAAAAATAGAAATTTCAAAATAAGCATATTTAAAAAGGATAAGGTCAAAGAAGAAATTCAGAAATCAAATTGAAATCAGTTTTCAACAGTCTTCCCAAGTGTGCAGGTTTCCTAAGCTTGTTTTGTTCAGATGAGATTACAACACTTCAGCTGAGCTTCACCTGCTGCTCTGGATCATTCATCAGTATGAAAACAAGAAATTGACACTCGCTCAACGTCAGTCTCATGCACTTCTCACATCAGCAAAATGTAAAATAAAAATGTTTGGAGCATCATTGCAAATCCTTGTGCTGTTTTCTAGTGCAGCAAACTTACGTGAAGCTCAATCAATTTTCCTGTTGTTGAAGGAATCCGCTATTTTTTTTGTAAGAGTTTGCTCATGTGCATGCTTTTACATTTATATTTTTACTGGTTGAGATAAACAAAGGGTTCGAGAAAAAGGGGTCCAATAATAAATAATCCGCCATTAAGCACATGACTCATAATCACTATAAATGAAGGAGAAATTCAACAACAATGGCGCTTATTGGAATGAATATCACACAAACATCCGAAAAAAAGAGACTATACACCTTTTCTTCTTAGATTGTTCAAATTTTCGAGTGATTTGAATAATTGCTTGGTATATGTGGAAATACTGTATACGTTTGCCATCGGTTTCTATTGGAAACTCTCTCTCCAATTTTCTTTACCGTATTATTGCATTTCATCCTGGAAACTATTTCAAAATTAGCATTAGCATAGCAACTGAAAAAAAAATCCTGGAAAAAGTAATGCTTTCAACTGCCCTATGTTTCATTGTAAACTCACTCAATTAAAAAGTATTACAAATACACTATATATATTCAGTATATCCTTATATTGAAAACTCTCTGGCCAGATCATTACATTTCATCACTTAATAATTTTGGTCTTCTGTGCAAGACTAGACCAGACATTTCTTGCAACATTAGTGCTTTCAAATGCCCTTTTCCCTGGTAAAATCACCAAAGAATGCTTACAATAACTTTTTCTATGGTGAAAGCTCTCAGGCTTGGTTCCCCAGCTATTGTGAAGAATAAATCCTCAAAAAATAACGATTAAAATTAGATTTAAGAAAACAGACTGATTTTGTAAATGAAACACAAGAATTTGGTCAGGCTACGACCGGGGTGAAATTCACCCTATTATTAAGTTGTTTTACTTTGAATTTTTGCACAAGTTTGAGAGATGTTCATTTTTGCAAGAGTTGACAACAGAACAACACACGTGAATGCTTGAATCAGAATGAATGTATTTTTATAATTTGGGAAAACAGGAAAACTGCCCTTCAAGGACAAAAAAAATGAACAGGATTTTAGCAATAGAATAAAGCTTTGAAGGCTCAGAAAAGAAACATGAGAACCAAGGTCTCCCAAGATTCTCACAGAGATGGAATGAAAGAAGAGTTTTACTGAAAATTTGGGTTCTCTGATTTTGGTGTGTCAAATTTAAGGAAGCTCTAGAATTTTTGCAACAGCTATAATCATTGCATTATTGTAGGAAACAATTCCCTGTGTCCTATGCAAAGGACGCAGGGTACTGAAGGAAATTTTATGCACACAGAAGTGCACATATCAGGTGATCACCAGGAATTCCCTGTGATCACGTGATAATCAGCACAGCACCCTTTCTTATTCCTCACCAGTTTTTGATTGTGCAATCCTTTTTTCATCATACCTTTTTTCCTCCATACCTGAACAGTCTCTCAGATGCTTTCATTGCACTAAGATATCTAAAGAATTGCTGTCTGTTGGAGTTCGTATTGAAATATTTGTGATCGATACTTTACCTTTATTGTGAAATACATTTTATTCTTGTCTTTTGGGATTCTATACTGAGAATCCCCTGCCCTGTTCCTGGGCAGATTGTTTGTTCTCATTCAGTTATTGCTTCAATATTCATTCTTTGTGGGCCTATGCCCTACAATTATATCCCAAGAATATTATTTATCTATTCTCATGCCTGTGAGAAGATGTTGGAAATGTTCCCCCATTTTTCACTTGGTGGGATTTTTTTAAAGCAGGCCTTTTTTTTTGGGAGGAAGCAAATTTTGAAAAATGTTCCCCATCACTTTGCTGAGAATCCCCTGCCCTGTTCCTGGGCAGATTGTTTGTTCTCATTTATTTATTGCTTCAATTTTCATCCTTTGTGGGCCTATGCCCTACAATTATATCCCTGAATACTTGTGTCTACCTGGAAAGAACTGAAAAAGACACATCTGGCGAAATTAAATCTCTCAAATGCCATGTATATCCCCTGTAATCTCACTGAATAATGATTACAAATAAGTTTACAACTGGTTCTGTTGAAAATCCTCTGGCTGGGCTCCGGCGCCGATGAGCTGATCATTACATTTCATATCCCCGAATAATAGCGTCATCTTTTTGTTGTTGTTGTTGTTGCAAGAGCTGCATGATAAATAAATTCCCGACACAAATTAATGCTTTCAAACGCCCTGTTTTTCCCGTGAACTCACTGCATGATGTCAGTGATTACCACTCGTTTTGATGAGGACAAGACGGATGAAACAGGAGTCGAGGCCCCCTGGTGTACGTAATTATGTACCAACACCACACAGTCGAAGGGCATTTTGTAAGAGTGAGTTGCTCAGCAATTCGTTCTTGGCACGTGAATCTTTTCGTTTGATGCGTGCTTTGCTTCGTCTTTCTCGACTCGACTAATTCTTTCCATTCCTCACTGGCATGCTGATCACGCCTTCAACAGCTGATAGCAACAAGCAGCAGCAGCGGGAAAATAGAGGAGGAGGGTATAACAGTGGTCTCTAAAATATTTCTCGTCATTGTGTTACATTCAGTTCCCCCCCCCCTTTTTCCTAAGCAAGGAATGAAAGGATTTTGTATTTGACGAGATGTAGAAGTACGGTGAGACCCCAAGATGCGGACATAATTGGTGCATCAAGAATTTTATCACAAAATGTCCCTATGTTGAGTCAGTGTCCTCATGTTGGGACTTGTTTATTGATTTTTTCTGGGAAAATAAGTGTCCCTATGTTGAATTGTCCACAGGTTGAGGTGTCCGCATGTGGGGGTCTCACTGTTCCAAGATGCAGACATAATTGGTGCTGACATTGTTCCTATGTTAGAGTGCCCTTATCTTGGATCACAGACTTCAATATGGGAATATATTTAACCCTTGTGTGACAAAGGCAGGATATTTCTGCAACATTCTGTGCACATGAGCACTGACAACTGAAAACATTTTATTTTTGAACCAAGGCTCAAGTTGGGAAAAAGTCAAATATTTTTTTATAATCCTGATGAGAAAAATGCCTTAAAAATGCCTCACTGGGAATTTCTCGCATTGGATTATCATTGGAGATTTTTGAATATAAAAGGATTCATCCTTCCTGGATTTTTCTGGACTTGGGCTTTGGCAACCTGGGGGAATTTCAGTGACCTTTTGTCAAAATGAAATGTGCCACCCCCAGAAAATTTTTTACTTTCCTGCAGAACAGCCAGGAACCCTCTGCCATCCATGGACTCATTGACTCTCTGGTTCATCAACAATTATGAATAAAGTCTCCAAAAATCTAATCATTTTTCAGCTTCTGGATACAGAAAATAGGTGTGCAGAAGAAAACCCCACATAATTTGATCTGTTCATTTCAAAAAGAGCTCAAGAAGCACAGAATAAGAACAAGTAATTAGCCAAACTGTGCACACAGAATGGGAAAAGCTCTGGAAATAGAAGCACAAAATAAGCCCATTTTTGATTGTTAATTAGACATTCTTACTGTAGGAACTCATTACAGTGAATCTCATCATAATGATTAGTTGATTATTGCAGATTTTAAACTGCATTAAAAATATTCCAGATGCAAGAGACATCTGAGTGCTGAGGCAGTTACCCAGCCATGCACATGAGCACTGACAACTGAAAACATTTTATTTTTGAACCAAGGCTCAAGTTGGGAAAAAGTCAAATATTTTTTTATAATCCTGATGAGAAAAATGCCTTAAAAATGCCTCACTGGGAATTTCTCGCATTGGATTATCATTGGAGATTTTTGAATATAAAAGGATTCATCCTTCCTGGATTTTTCTGGACTTGGGCTTTGGCAACCTGGGGCAATTTCAGTGACTTTTTGTCAAAATGAAATGTGCCACCCCCAGAAAAATCCTGACTTTCCTGCAGAACAGCCAGGAACCCTCTGCCATCCAAGGGTGCATTGATTCTCTGGTTCATCAAAAATTCTGAATAAAGTCTCCAAAAATGTAATCATTTTTTTCAGCTTCTGGATACAGAAAATAGGTGTGCAGAAGAAAACCCCACATAATTTGATCTGTTCATTTCGAAAAGAGCTCAAGAAGCACAGAATAAGAACAAGTAATTAGCCAAACTGTGCACACAGAATGGGAAAAGCTCTGGAAATAGAAGCACAAAATAAGCCCATTTTTCATTGTTAATTAGACATTCTTACTGTAGGAACTCATTACAGTGAATCTCATCATAATGAATAGTTGATTAAATGGCAGTCATTTTTAGGTCTCTGATGCCCAAGAGCCACAATTTTAAAATTTTTCCTTTATAACAGTACAGTATTTCATTGCAAAAATAATTCTATTGTTCTGCTCCCAACAGCTTTTTTGTAACAAGATTTCACTAGCTGTAATTGAATTTATTTTCAATTTTTGTGAGTATAAATTGCTCAATTTTTCATAAGATATCAAAGTATAAAAAATTATTTTTTCCATGTTGTTAAAAGTGTTGGAAACATGTCCATATCTCAAGAAATTGTCTGGGTGCCAGAGAAAACTTGTTTCAGTTTCAAGTGTCCTTAAGATGAATTGCCATGTTTTGTGGCATTCGTATAAGTCAGGGTTCAACTGTGATTTAAGAAGAAGAAAAAATAATTTCCACATGATGATGCTAAGCAACAACGCTGTACAGCTTCAGTGATGATTTTTTTCTGTTTGCATATATTTGGTTCAAATAAGGGTGTTTATTCCATATAGAGGAGATACTTTTCTCTTCTCATCACGAAAAGAAGGGGAGCATTGAGAAGGATGTTTTCCTAACCTAGTGAAGAAGTGTTATACATCTCAGAGAAAATAGGTCGATCCTTCTGGCAACATTTGCCCAGTGGAAATACAGGGGGAACCCATGGTTATACAAGAACCCTGTTGCAATGGCTGAAACATGACACAGATGTGCAAAAACAACCCACTTATCCACAGGTGGGCTGAGAGGAAGAAAATGGGGCACTCATCATCACTACTGCACCTATGGGATACACATATTGCAAAGAGAACCATAATGCGATTTTGTCGACAACAATAATTTTTTGTGGATATTTTCTGAGAAAGCCCCTAAGAATTGCTTTGTTTCAAAAATTGTAATCTGAGACTAAAACTCAACTCCTGCATTAATATAAAATAATTATTATTGTATTTAGAATATAGATAGCAGTGTTCCCATGCAGACTGTACTGCGATTTTGATAGTCAAAACTAATGTAAGCAGCAATGAGGGATTTATTTGTTTTGTTCTTTTCTAAGAAAAAACTTGAGCATTGCATTATTGTTTCAAGAATTGCATTCTAAATGTAAAACTCAACTTTTGTATTATTAGTATATAATGCATTAGTAGATTCAGAAAAGAGAGTCGCCTTTCCAAAAGTTAATTAAATTTGGTCAAAATTACACAACTGAAATGAGTGGTTCATTTGATACTTGAATGAATTTTTAAAATTCATTTCAACTGGGCTTTTATATCAAGTGATCAAGTCTATGAAGTTTCTCCAGAGATGTAAACGCAGAGTTTAGTATGCTGAAATAATTTATGCAAAAGGCATTTATTATCACCAAATTCTATGTTTTAATTGACTTTACTGTATAATTGATAGGATTACGAGGGAATCGGAATTTGAGAGTCGGTGGACGGAATCAGAACTTCCGAGACTTCTTCGCGGTTCACAGCATCTAGATGTCGCTCGTCGTGTTCGAGAAAAACTATCCCACAACTAGAATTGGCGCCCCCGGGAATCCATCAAATTTAAAAATCAAATTTTAAAATTTGATTATTTTATTTTCACAAATATATATCAAAACGATAGACTTGATGAATCGGAGCTCTTTCAGAATTCTTGAAAGCTTGAATTCATTCAAACGACCCGCAATCCAGGAAAAATTTTAAAATGTATTCAGAAAATCTGTATATAAATCGTTCCTCATATTTCGATTGCTTTTTTACTTTTTATTGATATCTGTTATTCATGTTTTGTTCTCTGTTGGCGAGTCAGATGTGCATAAGAGTAATAATGTTATGGCGTATCGAGAACCTGGTGTTTCTGATGGTTATTTTTTTAATTTTTGAGGTTGCAGATCATCATAATTTTATTTAACTGTAGGAAAACTCTGTCTAAATTAATAATACGAATACCTTGAAGCCCTTGTAACTCTCCATATTCTGTGTATCAAACCTTTAAAATGCATGAATCATGCTTGAAAGTTTTCCTTGATTTGGACTCATTAATAATCTTGATTGGATATTCATCAAGATATTTTCAGGTAGTAAATTACCTAAAAATACTGGTAAATCACTGCAAGTTGAACCTTGATAATAACTCAAACCACCATAAGTCGCATTTTTCTCAATAAGTCCTCATCTGAATTTCCTCAGAAACAATGCATTGAATAAAACAGCTCTAACTCAAAGGATTTTCCTCTCAAACCTTGTAACTGGAATCTTTTGAGGCCTTTTAAGGGGTATTGAAACCAAAAGAGAAAAACAATAAAAAGTAAACATGCATTTTGAAAGGAGGTGAATGACCAATTGGGAAAATGAACCTTTTCTTTCATTTTCAGCATTTGTTCAACTCATCTAAGAAGCAGTTTAAGGTCCAGAATACAACTCATAAAATTTTTGTCAATTTTTATCTTCCCTATGGCAAACAAAATGCTTGTTTTCCTTGCTCTCAACCTCCCCAATTCAATTTTTTATTGCTGGTCCTTTGAAATTCGAATTGACTAGGTTTGATTGTAATGTTTAACGTTTGGAGATCTACAGTATTTTTGTTCTATGCCCCACCATATTACTTTATTCCCAATATTATCCGAGTCTTTTTTTTGTGATCAAATTAATTTTTCAACAAAACAGCAACCCAGGTATTTTCTTGGTCCAAAATGTAACAAGATTTTACTCCAAGTACGAGTTGTTTCATGAGTCTTGTGACTATTCCAAATAGACTCAACAGGGTTTCTTGAATTATTATTTTTTAACTCACATAACCTCGTCATCTGGTAACACTTCAGTGCTGTTCAACAAACTCTCTGCCAATTTCAATGCACTTTTTCACGCAATAAATCCAAGTATCAAAACGGTGGCGCCATGAAAATTTCAAACTAAACTTGATTTTTGCCACTGTTTTGAACATTGGATTCATTGCGTGAAAAAGTGCGCGGAATTTGGCAGGGAGTATGTTGAACAGCACTGAAATTTTGCCACATGACGAGGTTATGTGAGTAAAAAAAAAAATTAATTCAACAAACCGTGTTGGGTTCATTTGAAATAGTTGCAAGACTTATGAAACACCCCTCGTATATTTATACGGTACACGTGAATGAAGAAAACCTTACATTGACATTTATGGCAGTCTTTTAATCAAAAGGCATGCATTTGAATATACATTGGATTCTATGTGAGTCAGCCGCATCAGGTGAGACAGAAAATGAAAAAAAATTAGCCGACAAGTTCTTATTACCTTCAGCACATAATTCCAAACTGCTACCAGCATGATCACAATGAATATGCAGCTGCACATACATTCATCAAGACGACCCACTGCCTATATTATTGTACCTGCAGATATAATGACGCCTCTCTGAACAATGTGCCCTGTTCATGACTAATATCTCCAAACAAACGATTGTACTGCACACCTGTTGATAATTTGAGGTTATCTGAAAAGTATGACGACATCTAGATCACGAACTTTTTGTTTCTTTTTTTTGGGTATGCTATTTTGCTGGGGTGCTGTACACTATAATGCCTGCATTGATAGCATGTCATCAGGGAATATTCAGGTACAGTACAGTAAATTTTTAATATTTCCTGTCACTGGAGATAATTTAATTGTTTATGTTATTGTTGCTAAAAACAAAGGAACCAACTTGCACTTTATTACGTGTATATACAAAAATTTCTGCCCCACAACAATTTTTACATATTCAATTTGGCATACAGTTGGTACCTCAAACTTTGACCTCCTGTAATTTGATCAGCATCCCACAATTCAATGGTCAAATTTTCAGGGAGGTTGACTTGCAATTCAACCATTGCCCCCAATTTGACCTGCTTTGGCCACTTTTTGGAATTTTCAACTAATATTTTTTTAATTGCATGGAGTGCCTTTCAATTTGACCAATTTGCAATTTTTAATGGGTTAGGTTGAAATTTCAAGGTACCACCTGTACAGGATTTTTAATTATGCTAAGTTTACCACAGATGAGGTTTGATATTATTTCCATAATATACTGTATTTTTTAAACAAATAAGTGCAGGTATTAACATCTCAATAAGTCAAAGGAAAGTAAATCAGTAAAGAAAAAAATGCCCTTGTTATTTTCCCCTATTCATACATTGTAGATTTTCTTCTGGAGATGTCAAAAGCATGGGGTTTCGTCCAATTTATATTTTTGGCCCATGTACTGTACTGCCCAAGTGGGGAAATTGGTGCACACTGGGGAATTGTTTGTACTGTATTTCTACACAGTGACCCTGATGTAAACCTGAAGTGTGCCAAAGTTCTTCTGTTGCGCATGCATATCCCCAATGTGCACCAATTGTGTTTTCACACCAGGATTACTCAGGGTAACATTTTTAAACAAATAACTTACACCAAGGTTACAGTTGGTGCATTTGTGTGATGCTCCTGTTATTTCACATTTGTGCACCAAGTGTAACCCTGGAATGGTAGCAAAATTTCCTCTGCAGGAGTGCACACTTGTAACCCCAGAATATCCCATATGCACCAGATGTGACCCTGGTGTGCACCTACTGTGGGGTCACACCAAAAATAGCTCCCCACTAGGGTGTATAGATAGTACAGTATATATGGTACCATGGTACCACCATCAATTAAGGGAAAGCATATACAGTATTGTACAGTTTTGACAGAATATCTACAGCTTCTGGTAAATATCAAGTTAAACAAATGAGTCACAACTACTGTATGATGAATTAGGTGGTATATATATATACCCTTAATCATATCAGATATGTTTCGCATGATGCAATCACTGGATTTTTTAAATATCTATGATCTCGGCCTGCGAATATGCTTTTTTCTCATAGACTCTATTGTACTCGTAAATATGGATTCCATAAAATTGAATCATCGGAAATTTCATTTCCGGGCAAAATTTTTGAAGTCAACTTATTGGTCGTCAATGAACGAGCTGCTCCTATGATGTATGTAGCAAGTGCAGGTGCTTACATCTCAACAGAAACCGTTGTAGTCGACAATTCTTCCTTATCAGTTAATTGCGATATCGCTTTTTGTTCGCCCCGCTCGCTGCTGATGGTGAAGAGGGACTAATCTACATCAGGCGAGGGAAAGGAACAGAACAGAGTTTGGATCCCGTCTGCTGGTGATTCGCGAACGCGGCATAGTGCTGTTCACACAGGCCCCTATTCCTGCTTGAGCTTTTCCTGTTCCTTACATACATGCTCCTGATGATGTGGATCCTAATGCAGTATAATCCTGACTGCTGCAAATCTGCTTATTTGTGCTGTACATCTGCTCCATTGTGCTCTCCTGCTCCTTGTTATCTCCAAATCCCCCTTCCCCTTGTGCTCCTGCATGGTCTTGCTCCAGTGCTCTCCTGCTCCTGTGCTCACCTGAGCTCATGTGCTCCTTTGCTTCATTTTTCAAAATGTTTTAGCAGTTTTGGTGTGCATTGCATTTTTTCTCATGGGAAATTTTGGACAAATTTCAAGAGGAGAACTTGATGTAATGGAAATATTTGAAAATTTCTTGAATTCTATAGGTTTAATTCATGTCTAAATCATAATGTGTTTGTTCTTATTTTTGAATTATGACCATTTCAGAGTCTATAAAATGGGTGCAGTGTGTTTTTTACTCAGGGATATTATTTTACAGTAGCAATAATTTTGATTGAAAAAGCCTGGTGTGTGTCTTACTTGAGAGCATGTACTGTACTACTTAAGTAAATACACTTTACTCTTGCTTTATAATTGCCCCTGATGCTAAGAGACACTTAGAAACATATACAGGTAAACATAAACTAAATACAGGTGGACTCCCTTTTAAAACAAAATAGAGAGAGAATTGCATTGTTGAGAACCTGTGTTACATGGGTAGGGACCCACATAGGAACAACAAATTCCTTATACAGAGAAAATGATTGTAGACCAAATAATTTAAGAGAGCCAGCCTGTGTATACTCCTGCTTTGGCACTTATACTCCTGCTCCAGTATGTGCTCCACCATGTTACTTATAAATCCTGCTGCTGTGCCCCTGTAATTTAGATGCAGTATACTTGTACACTCCAGCTTTGGTTGCTCTTATGTACTCCTGCCCCATTTACAGTATTTACTCAAGTACCATGCACCCTCAAGTAAGGCGCGCACAGTGGTTTTTCAGTTGAAAATTTTGCAAAAATCTTATCCCCAAGTAAGACGCGCACCCCAATTTTTAGTGAATCTAAATCCATGCAATTTCAAAAATAAAAACAAAAAATTTGACTTCAGGCATGAATTGAACAAAGATCTGATGAATTTTCAATTTTTTCAATACAAATAAAAATGTTTTCTTGTTATATTTGTTCCAAATTTCTCCATTATAATTAAGTATAATGCAAACATAACTTCCTAAAACTTCTTGAAAATTTTGTACCCGCTTATGATACGCAACCCTTTTTTTTCTTCTGAAATTTGGGGGAAAAGGTGCACATGGTACTTGAGTAAATATAGTATACAATAATTCTCAATCATGTTATCCTATTTATACTGTATATGTCTATGCTCTTTTACTGATACTTGTGCTCATATATATACTGCTCCAGTGCTAAGCTGCTAACATACTTCAGCTCCTCTCTCTTTATCTTGTTTTGAATCCTCATACCCCTATATTCTGTTCATATTCCTACTCCCACACCTTTGCTTTGCTGTTTTCTGTTCCTGTGCTAGTTTTTCTGATCCTGTGTTCTTTTACCTGCTGATCATGTGCTCTTGTTCCAGCTGATTGCTTTTTAAAGTTCTCTCTTGCTTTATCTAATGTCCAACACCTTGTCTATTTGCACATAAAAATCCTTTTCCTCTGTCCCCATATGTAGCCTTAAAACTGGGAAAATTGGTGAACATTTTGGCTAGACATGCATACTCATGCAGGAAACTGTGCTGTACATCTGAAGAGCACCAAAGTTTTTTCTATGTAATATCAAATGTGCAACAATTGTATATTTAAAGTTTGGGTACATATGTAGCCCTGTTCTCAAAATTTAACCATGGAAAAATAGTAGCAAGGCTGCTGTATATCATCTGCATCAGTATATGTGCACACTTGTACGCCAGAGTATCCCATGTGCACAAGTTTGTGTGAATACAAGAATAATATTTCCCCACATACCTGATGGTTGGACATTGCTGTGATCTTTATATATATATATATATCTATATATATATATATATGTATATATAAGATCTAGCAAAGCTGAAAATATGCACTTGTGGTCTATACCAGTGTTCCCCAACCTTTTTTGCTTGCGGACTGGCAAATTGTAACAAAAATCTGTTGAAGACCAGCAAATTGTCATAAAATTTTCTGAAGACCATTCAAGTTCCAATCAATTTTTCAAGACCAAGATATTTTTTAAACAGAATGAATGAATGAATGAACAGAACACTTTATTTGCTGCTTTTCGGCGTTCACAAGGTTCAATCAAAATATTTCCCCAACCAATTTTTAAATAATTATTTTTAAATAATTTTTAAATACCTTCCATAAAGTTCTCAAAACAAAACTGGTATTGCAAAAATTAAGTAAAGAACCAAGAAGCAGCTGTATATTGGAATGTCTTGAAGAAAAAAAGTTGAGCTTCAAGAAAGGCTTCTCAGATTTAAAACTGAAAATAATATGTTTTAGGCAATTGAAGACCTGTCTTAAGCATTAAGTGTGATGAGAAGAACAGCCAACTTTTATTTTTCTCACATAATTTCAACCACCATTTTTTCAAAAATTTTGGATAATTAAAGACAACAGCGGCTTCATCACTACCTTCTATACATGTATCATGCCCAAAACATTTTCTGGTGGACCAGCAAAAAAACATCTGTAATTCGGCGATAGTCCGCAGACCAGGGGCTGAGGAACACTGGTCTATATATACTGCTGGTGGACTCTCTCTATACAAAGCTCTTTTATTTTTCTCTCTGCATAATGATTTTTTTTTGTGGTCCTGGTTCTGACTCCAGCATGTTGAAGTGGTTCTCAATGCAACAAATTCATCTCTGCAACTCATTGCTTCTTGTCCTTCGAATTTCTTTGTATACATACAGAGAGAGTCCACCTGCTGCGTGAACGTTCGACGCGCCAAGTACATTTTTGGCAGAGGGAAACGTTTCGATTCGCGATCGCACTCGGGCCGAGTCAACATCAGTCCGTCCGTCCGCTCGGCTGTTTTATTTGTGCTCGGGCTTATTCACGAAAAATCCTTCCCTTTTATTCGTGGGGTTCCGATGTGAAGTTTTATTTTGTCCGGGATTCGGTGAGCAGAAAAGGCATATTGCTGCTGGGCTGCAGCAACAGGTGCTGCTGGTGCAAATTCTGTGTTCATTGTGTATGTGCAGGTGAACCTCATTAACTCAAACCTCCCTAAGTTGAATAGCACCCTAAGTTGAATTTTTTCAGGTCCCCATCTGAATCCCCTTAAAAACAGTAGATTAAAAACCTACCTAAGTTGGAAGCTTTTCCCCTAAAAACCTCCCTGATTCTAATTTTCTGTGGCCTGTTAGCCATTATTTTCTTGACCCAAGAAAGAAAAAAAGCAATAAAAACAGAAATTTCTGTGTTTTAAAGGAAGTGAAAGACTTCATTGGGCAAATGAACCCTTGCCTCCAAGTTCAGCAAGCAACCTTTCTACTCATTTAAGAAGCCCTTATTTAAGCCTCAGAATATCACCATTTACATTTTTTCCAAGTTTCCCAGAAAAAGGCTTTGTATTGCAGTTCCAACCAATAGAATTCAAAACCTCCCAAAGTTGAAAGTGACTTAGAGAGGTTTGACTGTACATATATATGTATATATGTACAGGTGAACCTTGCCAAGTTGAACCTCCGTAAGTCAAATACCTCCCTAAGTAGAATTTTTTTCAAGTCCCTGTCTGGATTCCCATAGAAACAATGCATTGAAAACCTCCCTTACGCAAAGTGGTTTTCTCTCAAAACTCTGTAAGTTGAATTTTCTGTGGCCTTTTGGTCATTATTTCCTTGAAATTTGATTGAGAAAATCAACAAAACAAATTATTTTATGCATTTTGAAATCAAGTGAAGGACTAATTGAACAAATGACCCCGTGCCTACAAGTTCAGCAAGCTGTAACTTCATTAAGAAGCAAGTTTTAGGCCCAGAATATCCTCATCTACAATTTCCCTTTTTCCTTGCATTAAAAATATTTTTTTACTTTCCTCAAAAAATCAAAACCTCCCTATAAGTTGAATTTTTTTTCCTGATCCCTAGAAATTTGACTTAGAGAGGTTCAACTGTATATACAGTCATCCCCCATCTAATGGACTAATTTCATGCAATGGACAAGTCTGTTAGACAAAAAGTCCTTTAGACAAATCCAATGATATAAAAATTTTTAAGTTTCAATTGTCAACAGTCAGCACAAAATTTTAAACCAAAAGAAGTCTGTTTGGCAGATTTTGTCTGTTGGGCAGGAGGAAAAACTGCCTGCAGAGCTGGTCTGTTGGGTGAAAATCCCTTAGGTGGGAGGTGTGTTAGGCAGGGGGCCACAGTATGTGCAGTATATATACAGTATATACATTAGAAATTGGCAAAAGTGTTGGTTTGTGAGCAAATTTGTTCAATTGCTGTGATATACTACTTATGGAAGTGTTGTACGTGATGCTGCAATGTGATCTCTGCATAAAAAAAAACTCCTAGTACAGCCAAACCTCTCCAAGTAGAATTTCAAAAGGGACCAACAACAACATTCAAGTGAGATGAGAGGTTTTGAGTTGGGGATTATAAACAAGCACTTTTTGTGAGACAAATACTGTAGAAGAATTGCAGAAAAATTGTAAATTACTGTATAATATTCTGGGCATTAAATTGCTTATTAAATGAGTTGACAGGATGTAAGTTGATCTGAATTTTTTTAATGCTCTCCATATTTCCTAAACCAAATTTCCAAAACTCGTCGAAGATCATCTGAGTAGGTTTTCTCAATAAGAACTTATTAAATTATTTACCCGCTTCTGGGTGATACGATTTAATTTATTGACTCAGTTGACTGATGATGGACGCGGTCAGCTGAAAATATTGAATCAGTATACATTTTAAAAATGGTTGCATACATATGCTCGAGATCAATTCAAAACTGAAGAATTAGAACCGAAATGATTTGACGCTGTGGATAATAGTTAACAGATACCACCTACACAAATACAATGTTTAAACGCGAGATTCCTAAATTTAAAGAGTTGTAATTTTATAAATTCCTTCGAAACACTGCTGTAAAGATGTCTTTTCTGATTTTGCATGTCGACAGCAGTGATGATGATTCTGTGAGGGTGAGGTAAAATGTGATGTAAACTAAAATGAATCTAAATTCTTGAAACTGGGCATTTTTGTGATCATCATCGAAGTATTTTTAAATTTTGGTTTTTCAAACACGGATTTCGTTCACGAAAAAAATCGAATGACGTTGCTTATCAGGAAATATCCATCATAATTTTATTTTAAACAAAGGCACTATCAATTATAGCAGGTCCCAAATCCTTGAAATATATGTAGAGAAATCAGCGAGAAAAATTATATTTCAATTATTTTCAGAGAGATTTTTCATTCCACTTTGGACGATGATTGCTGCGCAGATTTTCAGCGCGATCAGCAGTGATTCATGCCCGTATAAAAAAAAAGATTTGGTGGTATTCTCTGATGATTGAAAAATATATGATTTCCAGTTGGGAATCTACAGATGTTCATGCGTGTTTTCAGATTTTCCGCCAAGAATACCTATTCTGTATCATTATCACAAAACCTATCCAAGGGAATAACATACTGTAATTAAAATCCTCTTGAGAAGCTGTCGGACGATATTTTGGATGAGATGTACGGTATACTATACATTTTGCGTTGAAATTTTCTTTGATTCCAGAGAAATGATCGTCATTATTTCTAGCACCCGCTGTGCTACTAAATGAGTGTTCAGTGTCATGCTTCAAGAAAAAATTGTTATCAATGATGAGATGCTTTGAATTTTTGGGTTGCTTCGTTCCGTTGATACGATTTGGAGAGTCAACGCGCTTTATCGCCACTTATCCAAACATGCCGCAAAAGGAGCAAGATAAACTTTTACAACAGATATGTGTTAGAATTTGTGGAATTCCGTCGGAAATCCCGCTTCCTGTTTCTTCAAGGCAAAAGAATGTCCATTGAGTCTGTGTGGATTTACGAGTATACAGCAGTACATCCATGCATGCATTTCCTATTACTATATTGCTTCTTTTTTTTTTTTTTTTTTTACACATTATAGCATATTTTTAAACTTTGAAGACATTCAAACCAAGCAAAAATGCATCTCAAATTTTGTTTCAAGCACAAAGTCAGACGAATCCCTGTTGGTCAATGATAATCTACCATATTATGATATGTTGGACCAATAATATTTTTTTTGTATGAAGCATCGAAGTTTCAATCAACCTTCAATCAACAAGTTTTATTTTTCAACCTTCAAGTATGAATGGATTTCAAATTATATGCTTTCCATTACATATAGAAATTATAATATATTATCATTCAGAATAAAGGCATTTATTCACGCTGTATTTTGAACAGTCATAATGTGTAGGTATATTTGTTTCCACAGTAGATATTATGGGTATTAATAGTGTATGCTGGTTAAGCAAATGCAAATGTCAGAATAAGCAATTACTTATTGTTGCTTTCATTGAAAACAAGAATTTCCATCCAATTCAGCCTGAAAATTGTAGACATATTTTGATGAGATCATAATCTTTTTTATACTTTGTTTTTAATGAAATCAGTGATCAAAATTTGCTCATCACTGTACATGGAACAAAAATAAGCTCTGTTTTTAGCGTTCCTCCAAGTAATGACTCAGCTTCTTGGCATTTGCAGTTCTTGAAATTCTCCAGAATGAAAACGTATATTACAGGTGGACTCTACAATATGTTCATATGTCTATGTAACCATTTTCTCTGTATAAAATTTTTTTTGTCCCACATCAGGGTTCTCTCCCCATGATATAGAGAGTTCTCTAAAACAGCATTCTCTGATTCCTCTCAACAACAAATTGTTTTCTGGTCCCTTGAGTTTTTGTTGTTGCCAAGAATGAGAGTACACCTGAATATCTCCCTACATTTCTGATGCAGCTTCCTCTTAACTTTACAAGTCACTTGGTCATTACTGCAATGGTGTTATACTGTATGCAGTGTAAGATATATGTATATTTATTCTACAATAATAATAAACATGCAACAAAATACTTGCAAATTTCTAAAATCCAAGAATTTCTCAACTGCAGTAAGGCAATAGAAACGCCAGAGAGGATGAGAAACATCATGAATGAACATCACAAAAAGTTTCGCGCAGCTGTCTGCAAATTCATTTCCCTGCAAATGTTGTCAAGATCAGAATGCTGATTTGCTTCCACTGAGGTAACACCCACGGTTTTTTTTTCCGTGTACTCCTTATGTTAGTTTTAAAAAAACAGGCAAGATGGCGCTGATGCATTGTTGTTGCATTTGCTGCTCAGCAAGAGCAGGAGCACTGGTGATTGGTACCCTGCAGTTGGTGAGTGACTGCAATTAATGATTCATAAAAAATACATTGATATGACGGGTGTTCAATTATTGTGCAGATTGCGTTGATTGTTGGAGGAATCCTGACTGGCATGATGCTCGCAGCGATCGACTTGCTCGTCGACAAGGACGTGATCAAGGACGTGCTGCAAGACTACTTCGAAATCTCATCTTCTGATATGATTTTTATCGAGGACCAGATTGACGAAATCCAGGATTATATATTGGACTCCATTACTGGTAAGCTTCCTTTCAAAAGCAATACAGTATCTGAGATGATAAATTTAATTTATCAAAGCAACAATGAACAGGGAAAAAAACCGAGCTGAGATCTGCTGGGGCTTCGTCATTGGGATGATGAGTAACACTCATTATTTTTATTCCGCGATCTTGAAAATTTCAGAGCGGAAATTGCTTACTTGAGGAATGAGGACAAACAAACAAATTCATTTTTGTTCGATGTCATTCGGAGCTTTCGATCAAATGATTTATTCTTTGTTACATCTATACAGTATATAACTCCGACATTGTTGAATAATTTCAGTTCTGCAACGCATATTGTACGTGGTTCTGGGATACATCATAGTGGACTTCATTTTCACCTGCTTGATGATCCATGGCGCCAGAACCGTGAGTATCCGACGACATATAGACTATTCATACTGCGTTGTATTATACTCGCATTTAGTTAATCCGGAGATTTTTTTCTTTTGACAATTGAAAAAAATACATCAGCGGAAACATTTGCGAATTCTTTTAAGCATCGAAGAATCTGAGTCATACTTTGATACTGAATTTCCCCACTTTCCGCGTACGGAATCTAAACCAAATTAGATCTTCTGAGTCTTATAAAAACTAGACAAACCGCGAAAATTTCCAATTCGATCAATACATTTCAGCTCTGAATTCATGCGCGGTAGAATCTCATTGATTATATTGAATGATAATCATGCTTTAAAGTCCTCTTCGATTCAGATAATGCTCAAATAATCTACATGGAATTTCATATACGGATTATGGCACCATGTATATAGTACAGTATGTATATCCAGTCTCACACAATGCACCAGTGCAGTGAGACAGTTGAAAAAATATGAAGACTACAGTAAAAACCGGATTGTGATGTTCAGATGTCAATAATAAGCATGGTGAAAGACGTCGCAAATTGTCTGAATACACTATAAAAGACTAAAAGTTTATGTCTATTTACATCAGAATACAAAAAGGAGGGCTTTCCAGTCCAGTCGATTCCATGGAAAATTTTTTTCGTGCATATATGGTATTCTAGAGTTTTTTTCAAAAATTGGTGGCTCTTCAAGGAGCGAGGAAATTATGTACACGATGTTTACGAAAGAAAATGACAAAATTGTCTTGCAAATCAGGAAGAAAAAAACGCAGCAAGAAGAGGTTCGGATTGACGCGTCACTAGTCCTATAATCGAGTGAAGTGCAGCTGTGTTAGCTACTTAGCACACAAATGAAAATCTCGTTATAACGAATTATTCAGCATATATAACAAGCTTTCCAGCAGCTGAAGACCCCGGAAGTTTGTTGTTAATGAGATTTTACTGTATATATATGCGCAGAGCTCTCGCAAGATCATGGTCCCCTGGATCCTTTTGGAGGGCCTCCGATCCTGTGCCACACTCGCCGCTGGTATCCTCACTATCATACAACGCAACGAATGGGCCGAGACCATCACCAACGAGATCAACGACATCATCGACTCTCCCATGACACTGCCTGTATCCTTGCCCCCGGGCTTCGGGTCCACTTTGAAACCCCCGGTCACCATCACTGCGGACCCCCGGACCATAGAAAGCGGGCTCACTTCCCTCGGCGGATCCCTAATCTTCAACGCCGTGCTCTGGTTCTACTTCGTCCTCGTGGTCTTCTCGCAATTCCAGATCATCCGCGAAGTCAGGCAGAACGGGAAACGGGTCGCACATCGGGTCAGTGTCGTCAAAGGCGGGGAAGGAGGGAATATTTCAGCATCGCCAAGCATGTACAACATGCAACAACAACAACAACCGAACACAGCACGCAACGCGTTTGAAGATGTTCCAGTTCCATATCGTGCGTCGAAAAATGGACTCGGACCCGCAGCTCAACAACCCCCGTATTACGCCTTCGAGAATCAAGCGTACACCAATAACGCGCCCAGCGTACCGTCGATTTACATGCCATCAGCAGCAGCCTACGATCCAAAACCTGCTTGGCAACAGCAACAACAATCGTTCGTTCAGGGAAGCAGGATTTATCCCGACTTGAGAAACAATAACGCGTCTCCCTGGGGCCAAAATTCTTCAATGCTAGGCAACATGGAGCCTACGCCAGATTACGACTAGAATATGGCGGGTTTTCTTCGCCTGCTGACGGACTCTTGGAAAGCAAATGATTTTTCTTCAACCGCGTATCTAAAAATAATTCACTCTCCCCGCCCCCCCCCCGAAAAAAAACCTCGCAGATTTTGGCAGTATCGTACTGTAAACATAAATACTGTAGAACATACCAGTACATGCATGAAGTTACCAATTGGCAATTCATCAAATCCGGTCCTGACTTCATGAAGAATGCTTAGACAGTTTGGCAAAACGCTGTGGAGTTCCCATTTTTCACTTCGCTTTTCCATGAAAAACAAACCCCGAGCAAATGTCGTGAAAAAACGAAAACGTGGCAAAAAAATTCAACATTTTTAGAAAAGAAAAAAGCATTACGGAATGATGACAATTTGGTCCGTAAAAATACAATTTCATATTAAAAATCATGATGCATTTTTTATACTGTATAACAAAACAAGTATGAGGCACTATAGGGAAACCTACAATAAGACGCATTTATAAAACTTTACATTAGTATATATTGCTGTGCTGATTTTTCGTCTTAACTTCCGACATTTTTCGGCCCAAAACACATGTACTGCACTGTACAGCAGTATACAACAATATACGCGGTACTAGAAAGTGCTTTGAGGCACACGTGCTCTCCAATTCAACTACGCCGCAATTTCAGTTGGAAATAAATATCCCCCAATGGGGCGCATTTTTCGATCAAATAGATTTAGAAGAAATCAGGTGCTCACTTTTTCCATGTTCAGTAGAAACATTTTTACCTAAAAACGTAACTTCAGAGAAAAGAACAAACTTCAATAGAGCAAAAAGCAGAACGTATATGCATGGATACTAGGGTATAAACACAGATCTCTTCAGAAGAAAATTACAGCTGCACGAATCCAAAATTGATCTCCAACAATTTTTTGAACAACCTCGAGTTACGTTAATAATCAAAATTCCAAGAACAATCGTCTTGATTACCGAATTCAGTCCCCTATATAAGCATTTTCGAAGAAAATATGATCGCTATTTGCCCTCAAATCACAGCTAAGAAGAATAGGATGCGGGACCGATTCAAATCCCAAAAATGAATTGTTATAATATGAGGGTCTCATAGACAGTCAAACTTCAAGGAAATGGCAAAAAAGTTTTACACACGCAAAGGTTTCAATTTAGAGAAACAAGCAGCATTTTTGCTGAGGTAAAGAAAGAAGAATTACAGGTACTGTAATTGTAATTGGTGATATTCTGGGCCATAAAGTGCTCCTCAAATGAGTTGACAGGATGTTGAACTTGGAGGCAAGGGTTCATTTGCCCAACTGGTTATTCACTTTCTTTCAAAACACATCCTTACTTTTTTATTGTTTTTCTCCTTCCCATGTCAAAAAATAATAAAAAATCCGATTTTTCTGGAGTCCAGAAGGCCTCCAGAAAAATCGGAGATATGGAGGCTTTCAATCATGCATTGTTTCTCATGAAATTCAGACAGGGACTCGCAAAAAAATTCAGCACAGGGGGTTTGAGTTACCAAGGTTCAAGTACACTAATTGAACATCTCCATCGTCTTAAAATCTTCGGTTCTTCCCCGCATTCCAAATTTAAAAAAAAAACGAAAGGAAAATTGTTTAAATATCGCGAAGTATAAAATACAATTTACCAAAGATGCGCGAAAAGTATAAAAAGCGTGTGACTGGAATCTCACAGCGGGCGGATTGCAAGTGGCGAAAAAATATTCATACTACGTGTTATATTGCTTCAAGAAAGAAAGGAAGAGAACTAGTTTTCTATGTTTCGTATTTCAAAATAAAACCGTTAAATGTGACGTTGACCGAATTGTGGGTGCTACACACGAGAGATATGAGGAAATAACTGGAATACCATGCAACATCTCGCAGCTTAATTATCAACTCCAAACTTCCTCGGTTGCTTCAAGCACATCAGTGACCCCTCTACAATCCCGGAAACACTCGTAAAAGGAAGAGAAACGAAATCATCACGAATAGCGGCTTCACAAAAAATAGGCTAATCTTCAATGTCTAGCAAAAACAAAAAAGGCAGGGAAACCGAGAATATCAATAACCGCCGCGAAGTCATTCTCATCCGCCGATACTCATCTCGCAGAACAAAAAAGAAAATGAAAGTGCTTCTTTTCAAATAGCCATCGACGCAAGAGACCAGAAGCACCCCGCACGCTGAATTAAGCGAAATTTTCCTTCAGAAGAAGACGCGATGATGAATCTCGACTTCGGAAATGAATATTGGCGCATGATAACAAAACTGCGCCATTGCAACAAAAAAAACCGTAGTACAGTATCAGGGAATCCGCGATGAGAAATGGTAATTTTTCCCACGAGAAGTGATCAAAGAATACCTTGAATAGTGCTACAGAGTGCCAGGCACATCAGAGGGCGGAAGTGAGTTTCACTACAAGACGACTCTACGTCAAAACGTGTTTTACAGGTTCGATGAAGTCTGTTGATCACGCTCCTCTGTCAAAATATTTTTTTCACGCGTTTTAATAAAATGTAAATCTTTTTTACTGATGAAAACCCATTTCTGGACCAGAAATGATCCACAGAAACGTATACCTAAGCCTCAATTGCCTGCTCGATCAAATCCGTTTCAATGGCTCAACCATTATCCTCATACAGTATTTAGGCATGGAGGGACAAGTGAAATATTTTTCTACCCCTGCATTGCAATGACATTTTTGGATCCCTTTTTGACAATAAATACTGTGGCATCGCCGGAGGTCTCGCGGACACATCAAAGACACTTTTTAATTAATGCAGATGCCTTTATTAAAATTTAGTCGTCTGAAAGGTTCCCAGACTTATTTTCATAAGCGCTCGGTTCTTTCAAGGCTGAATAAATGAGAATTTTGTATTCACACAGAATTCATGGACAGACTTACTCGTCCTTGGTAATTGACATCATTCGATTTATACTTATTTTTAGTGTCTTGAAGCCATCGAACCCTTGAACTCTGCAGGGATCAACTGCCTCGAGCAATTTTCAATACTGTACTGTATTCGATAGGTATCACCAGCAATTCTATTTTTTTCATCCGAAGAACTTGTTACGTTCTAAACGCACACTTAAATCATACATCACAAAACATATGGAAGAGCAGTACCTTAACAGAGGTTCACAATGGCTGTACTTGTATAGGACTTCCCTCAACATGCCAAACACGGGAAGAAAAAACTGCTTCTGTCCAGCATTAACTCTAAAATTTTCTGCTTTGCCCTTCGCAGCAAAATTCAATGTATCATTCGATCACACACCGTGTTATTCTTTTTCGCTATTGCCAAAAACTTTGAATTGACTGCAACGAATCTCAAAAACCATCGACGCTGCCGTCGATGCCATTGATCTCTATCGTCAGCTTGGAGGGCTGAAATGCTTCGAAATGATCCCACAAAGTCATATTTGATACATAGGACCACCTCAACGCATACTTGACATACTGCAGACAAAGAGGCGAAATTCTCCCGGCTTCCCGCGACTGAACCAGTGTCATCACAACAATGTGAAACATTTCGCTTCAACAACTCGATTATTTCTCCAGACAACTGCGGCTTTTGAAGCCCGAAAAAAAGGCGGGCAAAACTTTCAGATAAGTGCACCGAAAAAAAACTTTCCTTTCTTTTTCTTTGCATTTTCCATGCCATGGAAGGTGCCCTAACCGACGTGCAGTCAAAAAATACGGCCGGGATCCACTGACGAAACAAATCGAAGGGATTTTTCTTTTTTTTGTTTCTCCTACACAAAAAGAACCGCGGTGTGAAACACGAGCCCGAGTGGAATGATACTTTACTCTTCACCTTTCATAAACCCCTCCCGAACAAACAAACAATCACTCCGCACGTGATTAAAGTTCAGAGCGCACGATAATGATACATTCTGCTAATAAGTTACCACGCGGGACCGAGGAGTCATAACTGTAGGCTTCTTTTCGAATAAAATTCGCGTCATGACACCAACTCTCTCGGGGCTCATTCGGAGAATACGCAGTTGCGCATTACGACAACGAATTTAAAGGATGGTCTCAATATTTTCATAATTTAACAGATGAGCACGACGGATAATACAGTCGTTCAATTCATCGAACCCATCGGTAAAGAGGAAAATCCCAGCAGGAGATTAAAGCGTGTTCCATTCCATAATTCGAACAATTTCTGCTTCATCACAATCATATGAAATATAATAAAACATTCCTCACTCAACGTGGACTACTCATTAATTACGCTTGGGAACACAACATAAATCAACTTAACCAGACATGTTAATACTGAGACAAGAATCGTAGCTCAGGACACTCCATCAGGTGAATAAATTGTTATTTTGATAAAGCAACTAAACTACATGTAACAGACCATCCAATGAATTCGAGTCATAATCACGAACATCCGAGGAATTCTCTTCAACAACATCTCAGCATAAAACACAACTGGAATTACTCAAATAAGAGCCCAAGAAAGCAGTTTTCACAACATCTTCGCGGAAGAACAAAAACAATTCGATCAACGCGAGCTCAAAAAGCCTTCTCCCCCAGCTCGAAAAAAAAAAACAGTTATGCCAGCCGCAAAAAAAATACGCAATCGAAATCTCGATCAGAATATAATGCTCTGCAAAAAGAAAAGAAAAACCGAAGAAAAAAAATACTCAAAAGAATCAGAAGGAAAAGAAGAAAGCTAAACGAGGAGACAAAGGCTATCTCAATATTTTTTTCCTGGAACGGTTAAATTCCATAATTATTCGACCTCATCAATCCCTTCATTTTATCAGGAAATTAAGGTTAGACAAAAAAAAAAAAACTCTTCGACACATTCAACAACGTTTCGGCACCTGGTTGAAATATCCAATATAAGCTGAACCGCCCACGTCATTGATAATCCGATTACAAGTCACCATAAAAGCGTGGGACCGTTCTCAAAACAAAACAAAAAACAAAGAGAAAATTATCAACTTAATCAAGAAGGCAAACATCCACGCAGAACACGCACGCAAAAGCCGTCCAGGAGAAAACACGAATAATAGCCTGTCTCTCCCCGTTTTCCTGTTGACCAGCGGCGATGATGATGATGATGACGAACCAACGACGATGATGATGACGACATTTAAACACGACTTAAGCAGGCGAGCGATTAACTGGCAACGGACGAGGTTTCCTTCTTGGGAGGAGACTGCTTCAACATGAGGATGAGAGACCGCATGCGAGACGTGTCCTTGCTGCCGCGGGCGTTCTTCGGGTTGAACTCGCACAGCTTCGCGATCCGCTCCCACTCCTGGCCCGGGACAACTTCCGCAGACAACTCTTGAATCTCCTTCTCTGCAGCTCTGTTTCCAAACCCGAAATTATCAATTTATATACATTCGACGGCGTTCCTCGTGATACAGCGGTGCCTCGGTTCATGGACGTAATCCCTTCGAGTCAGAAGTTCACCGTAACCGATCAATGAATTGCATACCCGCATTTACCCCAGTACCACGCGCCCTCAAATACGACGCACATGCTCCAGGGGTTTTCAGTCGAAAATCTTGAAAAATTTCTTCCCGAAGTAATACGCGCAACTCATTTATAATGACTCTAAAACAGCAATATTTCAAGGATAAGAACACCCATATTTGAATTTAGACGTGAATTTAATTTGAGTTTAAGTAATTTTCACTTATTTCCATCAAATAACTATTTCTGCGAAACTTCGACCAAAATTTCCCATTAGAAGCAAGTATAATGCAGACTTGAAAAGCATTTCTAAAAATTGTACGTGCCTGTGACCCTTATTTTTCCATTTTGAATTTGAGAAAAATGGAGCGCGTGGTACTCGAGTAAATATGGTAATTGCTGGTCCCAGACCAGCAGAAATACTCTTACTAACAAGCTACGAGGAATTGTGAATCCGTTTTGGATCCTCGCAAAATGTTCTTCATCAATACTTGAAATATTAAACATTTTAAAATGTAGGGCAGCACAAGTCCATTGTGTGAGAACTTTAATGTGCAAGAAAACCATTCACCTGGGGTACCACTGTATCGTACATATAATGATAGGTAATGTAGGAAAAAAATCTAGGCTACAACATCACCCACAACTCGGACATGCGAGCGAACGTGCACAACAATGAAATTCAAAACAGAGCGTTACAACGTTCAAGCATAGGAAGGACAAATCGAATGCCTAGGTTCCTTTATTTTTGTACAGAGGAAGATTAGGAAGGTTTCGTGTGAAACTCACAGGCACTTAATTCAGTTTTGGTCAGGCTAATGATTCAGCAAACTACGATCAGGTGGTTCATGTTCCCGCTATTACTGTACTGTATTAGAAACAAGTGAGTCTCACATTTAGAGGTTTTCAGCTGAGCTGAATTTGACCAGGTTATTGATTCAGGCGAAATCTATTCAACACAAACAAGGAAATGAGCAGAGGATGTGAAGCGGCGAAGTGAAAAGAACTGAAGCCTGGACGACCACTCCACAATTATCAGATAGGAAGAAGAAAAAGTTCGCATTTGCTCCACCACTCGATGGAACATTATTAATTTTTTCAAACGAAGATTGCCGCCGATAAAATAATACTGTACATTCATATTCTTCAAAAGTTACGAATAACTTCCGTTTTCTCCGTAAAATCGAACCAGGCTTCATCCCACGCAAACAAATCATCCAAGAACAAAAAATTACTGCCACAATTTTGAAATGAACTTCGCTAGGGAAGAATAAAATCGCAAATTTTTTTACGAACCCACGCACGTTTTTAGCTATTCTCGGTTACGAAAATTCTTTTCATTGCATTCCAATACAAAGTACCTTCAGAACATAATTAATTGCCCAGCAGTAAAATTCAAAATTTCAATTCTTGAAAAAAACCAATAAACCGAGTCAACCGACGAAAATTTCGAGACCACCGGGTATGAAATCACAAGAGATTCCTGGAAACGACTCAAGCAAACATCACAGTTGAACTGACACCATCACCAACATCGGCTATTCTAACAATACGAGGGCTACGAAACTACAGTACAGTAAACTATATTACTTGTCACTTCTGACACTACAGAATATACAATCTGTTTACACTGCGGATATCCGAGACGTGCCCGAATTCACTGCGGTGTCCAGACGGAAGAAACGATGTAAGCTTTCATAAAGGCAGAACTGAAAAAAATGACCCATTCCCTCGAACAAATTTGCACAAAAAAAAAATCATGCGCAGTTTACTTTTCCATCGAATTCGAACATCGAAGACACGAAATCATTTCTAGTTTCACTGGTCTACTTCTTCAAAGAAAAAAATTAAGATCAAGATGCTGGGGAAAATCGTGAACAATAGAACACGAACAATCGGGCGTTTGCTTCCCAGTCAAGCACATGAGGATGATTCAAACATTTTGCCAGGTTTGCACCTTTCATCACATTTCAAGCTTGAAATTATATTCACAACACTTTTCCAACAGTATACGATCACAAGTACCCTTGTTTCAATTTTTAATCACCGAAGATAAGGATAAAATAGCCGAAAATTCTGAATACGGCACATCCCGTTCCAGCTAAGATTTACCGACTATTATTGAATGTTTTGTGAATTTGAACGAGGTAGAAGGTAAACGAAAAATTCATGTAAATGAAGATAATTTCAGGGGTCAAGTCTGAGATCTGAAACATCTGGGAATAATATACAGTTGAGCAGCAATAATTGTGAAGGCTACCCTAAAACGTCAATAGAAGAGTAAAATATTTTACCAAGTCAGGCTTGAATTAAATATAATTCAAGGCAGTTAAACAATAGACTGGCATTGCTAATAATTAATTCAAATGGGGCAATTCAAAATTTTCGACTACACTAATACACGATAAAATGTTAATTTTCGATCTAAGTTTTTTAGAAAAGCTTTTATTGATCGCCGCAACACTTCAAAAGTCTAGAAGGTTAATTATAATTTGTGAAAAAGGCATTGAACATGACTGAAAATTTTTTCACAAATCCTATACAACCAGTGCTGCCAAACTTAGATGTGGCCATTGGCCACATCGTAGAGGTTCGAGAGTCCTTGCGGCCAAAATAGACAATACTCTTTGAGATTCCAAATTTCCTTTTCTAAAGTGGAAGCTTCAAATTAAATTCACTGCCATGTGCATTGAATCACAAGCATAGCATAAAAGAATTTTCGAATGGTAGAGAAACATTTAGATTTCTTAAATTCAGCTTTCAATACATATTTCGAATACCAGCGGGAAAATAATTGGAAAAGGACTGCGCGATGAAAGAAGAGTCTCTGCGGACCACATCCGGCCCGTGGGCCGTACGCTGGGCAGCACTGCTAAAAACCCTATTTCAAGGTTATGCACTGCACAGGTACTGGCAAAACATTTGCATCAACTCTAGCACTTCATACGCGTCATTTCAACCAACCAAAAAAGACGCAGAAAATGACCAGATTATTGGAACTACCTGAGGTCCACCGGAATGAAAATAAAATGCCATTTTTATAACTATAAAACTTGACAATTGATCGCAGAAAAATTCCTTTTGCACCCAATTGAAATGTTCATGGAAGCTAGAAGTGACTTCGGCGAGTGAAATGAAGAATCAAGATGCTTCAGGCGACGAGGAGGAAATATATCGAAAAAAAGGGACATCAAGAAAAGGAATTTCCCAACAACGAAATCTTACATCGCGTTTTCCCTGCACGAGTTCCCGAACAACCCAGAACCGACGTGTGAGTGCGGACAGTCCAATCGCCATCAGGTTTTCACAAAAGTAGAAAAGGGGACAGGTAAGAGAGGAAAAAAAAAAGATAACGAACAGTGCAGCACGAGTTCACATAATCATTTTGCTTTTCAAAATTCAAACAACCAATGATTCTTCACGCTCTTACGTATACTTCACAACCTTCGCCATTCGGGCTCCGTTTTTCGTCATTTTTATATCACAGAACACGAAAGTTAGACGACTTTCTACTGAGCATTAAATAAAAAAGTAAGTGAAGAATCATTCAATTAATTACAAAGCTTTCCCAAGTTAGCGATAGCTCTCAGCAGTATATAGAAAAAAAACCGCCCAAGACACTTCACACTGCAAGCTTTTGATTAGCAACCCAAGCCACGAGAAATCCGGTGACGAACTCGTTTCGTTAGCGTTAGAAGACTGGACGATGAACGAACCTATTTGATGCTTTCGTCTTCTCTATTTGCTCGTCGTGGGATTTGTACCATTCTTCTAGTTCCCGCTTGGCTTGTTCCCTTAATTTTACTATCTGTACTTGCTCTTCTTTATCTGAAAAAGAGACATTCGAAATAAATAAATAAATTACCTGTACAAAAAAAATACACTTTCAAGGCGCATAATTTCCAAAAACTCGATCATTGATTTGGCAAAAATTAAATGGAAACTTCGCAGTATAGTACCTAAAATATAAAATCTCATGAAAAATGGCTCCAACGTAAAAATAATTTCTTTCAATATTCACTTTTTCTATGGTTAATGTGTAGTTCTCTGCGTTCTTCTTTCTATGAAAATATCAGTTTCATAAACTAAATTTTATTGGCGAAAAACTAAAAGAATACCACAATATTTAATTTCGGTGATTTCAAAATAAAATTTATAAAATCATCATTGAATATTACAACCTTCTGATTGTTCATGGACAAGACATGACCTAGACAAGAGATAACCCTTTCAACTGAATCCAATACGAAAGCATGATTCAAGTTTTAAACTATATTTCTTTTCAGAGACTAAGTCTGCGATGAAACAGGTATACTGTAATGCTTTTTTCTGGAAGAATAGTCACATGAGTGCGATATGAGTATGCTGTACGGCTAATTCTTCAATATTTTAGTGAGACGGAAAATTACAAAATCGAGCTGAGAACACAAACAAGCTTCTCAAGGGACGCCAGTCATACATGAAAATTCCTCATGAAAAGCAATTGGGCGAAGTCCATTAAATTATTAAATAATCCTTGATCGAAATTAACATTCAAAACAGAGCGTTACAACGTTCAAGCATAGGAAGGACAAATCGAATGCCTAGGTTCCTTTATTTTTGTACAGAGGAAGATTAGGAAGGTTTCGTGTGAAACTCACAGGCACTTAATTCAGTTTTAGTCAGGCTAATGTTTCAGCAAACCACGATCAGGTGGTTCATGTTCCCGCTATTACTGTACTGTATTAGAAACAAGTGAGTCTCACATTTAGAGGTTTTCAGCTGAGCTGAATTTGACCAGGTTATTGATTCAGGCGAATTCTATTCAAAAAACAAGGAAATGAGCAGAGGATGTGAAGCGGCGAAGTGACAAGAACTGAAGCCTGGACGACCACTCCACAATTATCAGATAGGAAGAAGAAAAAGTTCGCGCTTGCTTCACCTCTCGATGGAACATTATCAATTTTTTCAAACGAAGATTGCCACCGAAAAAATAATACTGTACATTCATATTCTTCAAAAGTTACGAATAACTTCCGTTTTCTCCGTAAAAGCGAACCAGGCTTCATCCCACGCAAACAAATCATCCGAGAAAAAAAAAATTACTGCCACAATTTTGAAATGAACTTCGTTAGGGAAGAATAAAATCGCAAATTTTTTTACGAACCCACACACGTTTTTAGCTATTCTCGGTTACGAAAATTCTTTTCCTTGCATTCCAATACAAAGTACCTTCAGAACATAATTGCCCAGCAGTAAAATTCAAAATTTCAATTCTTGAAAAAAACCAATAAACCGAGTCAACCGACGAAAATTTCGAGACCACCGGGTATAAAATCAGAAGAGATTCCTGGAAACGACTCAAGCAAACATCACAGTTGAACTGACACCATCACCAACATCGGCTATTCTGCAACAATACGAGGGCTACGAAACTACAGTACAGTAAACTATATTACTTGTCACTTCTGACACTACAGAATATACAATCTGTTTACACTGCGGATATCCGAGACGTGCCCGAATTCACTGCGGTGTCCAGACGGAAGAAACGATGTAAGCTTTCATAAAGGCAGAACTGAAAAAAATGACCCATTCCCTCGAACAAATTTGCACAAAAAAAAATCATGCGCAGTTTACTTTTCCATCGAATTCGAACATCGAAGACACGAAATCATTTCTAGTTTCACTGGTCTACTTCTTCAAAGAAAAAAATTAAGATCAAGATGCTGGGGAAAATCGTGAACAATAGAACACGAACAATCTGGCGTTTGCTTCCCAGTCAAGCACATGAGGATGATTCAAACATTTTGCCAGGTTTGCACCTTTCATCACATTTCAAGCTTGAAATTATATTCACAACACTTTTCCAACAGTATACGATCACAAGTACCCTTGTTTCAATTTTTAATCACCAAAGATAAGGATAAAATAGCCGAAAATTCTGAATACGGCACATCCCGTTCCAGCTAAGATTTACCGACTATTATTGAATGTTTTGTGAATTTGAACGAGGTAGAAGGTAAACGAAAAATTCATGTAAATGAAGATAATTTCAGGGGTCAAGTCTGAGATCTGAAACATCTGGGAATAATATACAGTTGAGCAGCAATAATTGTGAAGGCTACCCTAAAACGTCAATAGAAGAGTAAAATATTTTACCAAGTCAGGCTTGAATTAAATATAATTCAAGGCAGTTAAACAATAGACTGGCATTGCTAATAATTAATTCAAATGGGGCAATTCAAAATTTTCGACTACACTAATACACGATAAAATGTTAATTTCCGATCTAAGTTTTTTAGAAAAGCTTTTATTGATCGCCGCAACACTTCAAAAGTCTAGAAGGTTAATTATAATTTGTGAAAAAGGCATTGAACATGACTGAAAATTTTTTCACAAATCCTATACAACCAGTGCTGCCAAACTTAGATGTGGCCATTGGCCACATCGTAGAGGTTCGAGAGTCCTTGCGGCCAAAATAGACAATACTCTTTGAGATTCCAAATTTCCTTTTCTAAAGTGGAAGCTTCAAATTAAATTCACTGCCATGTGCATTGAATCACAAGCATAGCATAAAAGAATTTTCGAATGGTAGAGAAACATTTTGATTTCTTAAATTCAGCTTTCAATACATATTTCGAATACCAGCGGGAGAATAGTTGGAAAAGGACTGCGCGATGAAAGAAGAGTCTCTGCGGACCACATCCGGCCCGTGGGCCGTACGCTGGGCAGCACTGCTAAAAACCCTATTTCAAGGTTATGCACTGCACAGGTACTGGCAAAACATTTGCATCAACTCTAGCACTTCATACGCGTCATTTCAACCAACCAAAAAAGACGCAGAAAATGACCAGATTATTGGAACTACCTGAGGTCCACCGGAATGAAAATAAAATGCCATTTTTATAACTATAAAACTTGACAATTGATCGCAGAAAAATTCCTTTTGCACCCAATTGAAATGTTCATGGAAGCTAGAAGTGACTTCGGCGAGTGAAATGAAGAATCAAGATGCTTCAGGCGACGAGGAGGAAATATATCGAAAAAAAGGGACATCAAGAAAAGGAATTTCCCAACAACGAAATCTTACATCGCGTTTTCCCTGCACGAGTTCCCGAACAACCCAGAACCGACGTGTGAGTGCGGACAGTCCAATCGCCATCAGGTTTTCACAAAAGTAGAAAAGGGGACAGGTAAGAGAGGAAAAAAAAAAGATAACGAACAGTGCAGCACGAGTTCACATAATCATTTTGCTTTTCAAAATTCAAACAACCAATGATTCTTCACGCTCTTACGTATACTTCACAACCTTCGCCATTCGGGCTCCGTTTTTCGTCATTTTTATATCACAGAACACGAAAGTTAGACGACTTTCTACTGAGCATTAAATAAAAAAGTAAGTGAAGAATCATTCAATTAATTACAAAGCTTTCCCAAGTTAGCGATAGCTCTCAGCAGTATATAGAAAAAAAACCGCCCAAGACACTTCACACTGCAAGCTTTTGATTAGCAACCCAAGCCACGAGAAATCCGGTGACGAACTCGTTTCGTTAGCGTTAGAAGACTGGACGATGAACGAACCTATTTGATGCTTTCGTCTTCTCTATTTGCTCGTCGTGGGATTTGTACCATTCTTCTAGTTCCCGCTTGGCTTGTTCCCTTAATTTTACTATCTGTACTTGCTCTTCTTTATCTGAAAAAGAGACATTCGAAATAAATAAATAAATTACCTGTACAAAAAAAATAAACTTTCAAGGCGCATAATTTCCAAAAACTCGATCATTGATTTGGCAAAAATTAAATGGAAACTTCGCAGTATAGTACCTAAAATATAAAATCTCATGAAAAATGGCTCCAACGTAAAAATAATTTCTTTCCATATTCACTTTTTCTATGGTTAATGTGTAGTTCTCTGCGTTCTTCTTTCTATGAAAAAAATCAGTTTCATAAACTAAATTTTATTGGCGAAAAAACTAAAAGAATACCACAATATTTAATTTCGGTGATTTCAAAATAAAATTTATAAAATCATCATTGAATATTGCAACCTTCTGATTGTTCACGGACAAGACATGACCTAGACAATAGATAACCCTTTCAACTGAATCCAATACGAAAGCATGATTCAAGTTTTAAACTATATTTCTTTTTAGAGACTAAGTCTGCGATGAAACAGGTATACTGTAATGCTTTTTTCTGGAAGAATCGTCACATGAGTGCGATATGAGTATGCTGTACGGCTAATTCTTCAATATTTCAGTGAGACGGAACTAATGTTTTAGCTCGACTCTTGTGTTTGTTCGAAGAGTTCCCTGCGGTCAGTATGTACTTTTAAGGAGTACTTTTCGTTAACCCGCTTCAGGTAATTTAATAATTTATTAGGAACTAGCTTTAATTGAGTTGAATTTCGTATTTTCTTCAGAAACGCGATAATTTCTTCTATTTTTAATACGAGAAAGGGGAAAAAAGGCACAGTGAAAATGAACCTTTCTCTTCAAGGCGAATTTTCTGTTCCTCACGCCACTTCCGAATCTTCTCCGGTTCTTCCCGCATCGAGCTCATCATTGGGACTGGCGCTAAACACAAACAAAAAGAACAGCATTAACACGCCCTGCAGCAAAAATCGTTCACACAAAACGCTTCCCTTGAACGTAACAGACCCAAATATGGATAACTAAATTAGTGTAATACATCTAAACGACGAATTAGAATAACACAACAGGAGCACAGCAAAGCGAAAATAAAACCCCCCGAGGTTAGAAAAGCAATAAAAGCATTCGAAATCGGCAACGTCACTTGAGACGGGGTACAAACGTATTTTTCGACAAATGCGATGTGACGACCACAGCTTGTGGTCGCACAAGGTTTTGTTAGTTGAATGTGCGACATCTGCTTACTTGAAGACCAAGGAAGTAAGGCAAACAGAGGAGGCAATTACGACGTACGTTTATTTTAAAGGTGAAAAAAAAGGATAACAATTCTGGATGAAATAATGGCGCAAAACGGTTTCAGCTGTCGAAGGATGTCTGCTTTGAATTGAATCTGACACAGTTTCAATACTACCCCAGGAAATTGCCGCCAGAAAATAATTTTTCTCACCAAGCGATCCCAAAAAAAACTTTTATTATTTTCACTGAAAAATTAAAACCTTTGCAATCAAGAATTTACAACACGCTCGTCATGAAACAATTCCAGCAGACCTCCATCGACAGCAGCGTTAAACAGGTATTAAAGAACTCTGCTTTAAGGAAGGAACTTTTCTTTTAGCGTGCCGGACAGTGAGGCCTTACGATAAGTTTGATTGGAAAAGGCCTCAGAAGCAGTAGTCGCCCAAGGAGCTAAAGCTCCACTAACAGAGAAAACAAGTAGGGAAAAATGAAGGGGGAAATGCAAAAAGAAGATAAGCACACCAGAAGGCAGAGTTACGATGCAAGATTTAAACATGTCTAAATCGTCGAAAGCAAAGGAAGGACTCGTAATACAGTACAGTATATCCAAAGAAGCAAGAACCTCATGCGAACCCTACAACCCAAAACCCGGGATACTTTTCACCTTCGGTTTCTAGTTTCTCCAACGATCTCCAACGAAATCAACATTTCTCTATTCCACGCATGCTTATAACGATGATCCATCAAAAAAATGCGGCACTCGTAATAAAAGGAATACCTTTTTCAATAAAAGCACGGAACACTCATCACAAAACTTTCGCTACCCACGTAAATCCATCTTCCGACAAATAAATCAATGTTATCAAAGGCTGACCGTCAAATAAATTTCCAGCCCAATAGCTCACAATAATATAATTATCAAGAGGATTTTAACATTTAAAGCACACACCTGATTGAAATTCTTAATCAATTTCACAAGCTCAAGATATTCCTCGTTATATCATACGCGTTCGCATTCAACTGGAAATTTCAAGATTTCATTTTCCAAGTTCGATGAGCGAAACACAGGCCTCGATAATAATTCGGTTCATTTTGCAGTAATTATTCCACAAAAAATCAATTCAGTAGAATTGCGCACGGATACACATATTCGTTTGAATCTTTGAAATGATGTCTCAGTGTGTCTTGGAACTCTTGGAGACCCATGCATTCCAGCTAGCTAACGAACATCTTTGATTTGCGAAAAGGGTGTATTTTCTCGATAAACACAAGCAAGGCCTCGTAAAAATACACATGAAGTGACGTAAAGCTTTCATTGGATTTTGAATAAAATCTCATCTGATTCATTGACTTTAATAAACATGGTATAATACAGTAGAACCTCTTCAAGTCAAACTTCAAATAAATTCCAGATGGGGAGGTTTCAAATTAGGGGAACACGCATTTTTGTAGGGCGAGAGAAGAATTGCAGGAAATTTCAATTGGTGGTGTTCTGGGCCGTAAATTATTAGATAAGCTGCTGAAGGCAAGGGTTCATTTGCCCAATTACTCTTTCACTTTCTTTCGGAACACATGTTACATTTTGAATGCTTTTCGCTTTCCTTTCAATAAAATATACGGCCTCCAGAAAATTCGAGTTACACAGATGTTTAATGCACGGTTTTTTAACGTATTTTAGGCGTGGACTTGAAAATAATCGACATAAGGAGGTATTCGACTTAGGAAGGTTCGAGTTATAGAGGTTCAAACTGCAATACATTTTTCAGCAACGGCAAATTCTCACGAAACTTCCACACAACGAAAAGAAAATGTCCATAAAATAAATTTGCCACTGATTCATCATATCGTAATATCAAAATTTTCAAATGCGCTGTTCAGAAATTCTGCGAATTCCACGTGTTGAAACTAGGAAGATGAACAGACTTCAATCAATTCCCACCCCAAAAACGCTCAATAACTCGTTCGATCACCTTTTTGTTTCTCCCATTCATTATACATATTAGTCCACACCACACGACCAATAGAACCCTGCCCAAAAAAAAAAAGATGAAGTGTATTCCAACTGTACATAACATCTAACGCCTGTCACCGGCAAGGAGAAAGACCACGAGACCAAAAATGAATAAATAAATAAAAGAACAAAAAAGGTGCTACCAAAGTAACCCACACACTCACATTTGACCGGAAAGATGCTCGACGCCGGCTCAGAAGCCAGGTCACCACCGGTCTCTCCAAAAGCCGACATGCCATCGTCGAGCCCGAACATGTCGTCGACGACCGCCGGCACCGCCGACGAGTCCCCGGTCAACATCTCGAAATCGTCGTAACCCCCTTGATCTAACAACACAAGCCACGGGGAGCGTGATCAAAACGCGGCGGTGCACCGGTCAAAAATCGTGACCGGTCAAGAGTCCTGACTCAATTCATTCAATTGGAACACACTAGGGCAGCAAGGAAAATTTAAAAATTCCCCAGAGCACATTTAAAAAGTCACGATCATTCTGTACCCTGCGATACAGTAGAAACTCGACATAACGAATAATCGCTTACAAAGTCATTATTTTTGGGTCCATGCCCAATAGCCAAAATGTTTGTTAAATAAATTACTTTGTCAGATTTACAAGCTGGAGGTATCCAGCCACACGTAGGCATGATTTTTTTAAATTTTACAGAAAAAAATTATTGATTAGAGTATATTGCAGTACATATTTACAGTACGATCTTCTGGAATCCTGTGCATTTGCTGTACGTGTGGGTGCCTAGCCATATATCCAACGAAGATTTTGAAAATGAATTATGACACATTTCAATTTTCGAAGCTATTAAACGTCTTCATGGAAGATATGAATGCAGTCATTCAGTGCCCACGTAGCAAAAAATGTATCAATTTCTCGAACACGCACACATCTTTCTTCTCCATTACACAGTTTTAACCGGAATTTTATTTTCCTAATTCAGGTCTGTGGCAGGTTAGGGTATGATGGGAATTCCTCGCATCACGTATTTTTCGGTTAGGCCAGGCTAAGTTGGGTGAACTTCAATCGCTTATATTTGCTGCTAGGCATCCAAAAAAAAAATTGATCTGACAGTAGAGTAACATGAAAAAAAAAATAAAATTTCAAAATTATTTCCCCAACAGCCACAGATCTGAGAAAAGTCTAGGCAAGTTCAATCCTAAGTCCTAACCCTGTCTTTAAGCATTGGATGCACATTTTGCATTATTTTCCAATTACTGCCCTCTGGAATGTTCCGTTGTAGAAGTAACACTTCGGATAATTTCTGAACGATAAGAAAAACTCTGAAAAAGACTTTCTTCCACTGGAACATCCGATTCTCGAATTTCAACAGGGAAAACTGTATTATGAAAACTTTTGAACGATGGGAAATGTAGGCCTAATTCGAAAGAATTCACAAAAATTTGTTTTGACGTTATCAATAAATGCTTGAATGCACATTACATGCTGTATTTTATTTAAATTCTGTTCCCAACACGGAAAATTAAATATGTATCATGAATATTCGAAGTCCACTCATCACCACCCCCCCCCCCCTAATATCAATCTTATAAGATGTAAGTAAAAAAAAAACATTTTCGCTCCAAGGTCAGTTACGATTAAATGGGCTCATAACTTATCAAAACGCTCCCCTTACTTGTCAATGTAGATGAGAGGATCACTTCTAATACGACGTAAAAATCCAGATCGTATCAATACCCGTCAAATTTTACCTTACAGACAGTTACTGTACAGTACTTCCGTATCCACTTTCAACGCCGAGAACATGCAGTTGATGAGATATCGATCCAACTAAACTGATCGCTACACATCGAAACCACTTTCCAAAGGGAGAGAAACAAAAACTGCGAAGGAAGATCCCACCAGCATTGATGCAAATACAAGTGCAACACTATGTAAGTTTCGATGTCCACTCATTAGCAGCACCGTGGACATGAAGTGCAGCCGCTCAAAACAGCACATTCAAGAAAAAAGGAGACCACTCCAACACGCGTCCCGACACAACAGGGCGGCAGACCTTTCTTCAACCACTCTTCAGGTAGTTCTGTTATACAGCAAACGTATACTTGATCGTGAACATGATCTGATTTTATTTTTGCCGTAAATGAGCTCATGGTGCGTGGGAGTTCATTCTTTGCGTGAAGGCTAAATATCTGCTTAGGACCCCTTTTATAGTAGGGGCGTTAAGACGCGCACATTCGTTTACAGTTACCAGAATTCTCAATTGAAAAACGATCTCGGGTTAAAATCTGAATTGAAGTCTACTTGAAATCGAATTCAATGACGACGCTTCAATAACTAATACAGTAGTATTGTATCATTGATATATGGAACTCCGAAAAAAATTTCAAATAAAAAAAAATATCACGACATCTTACACCCGACCATGACGCGCACCTCATTTCCCCCCTCGATTTACTGACAAAATGCGCACGTGGTATTCGAGTAAATACGGGAATACATAAGGAGAAAGTTAACTGCATCACGAATGCTTACGCCTTGTTCATATTCTTCACTGGAATACATAGTGAATACCGCGATAATTTAAAGAAAAAAATAACACTACGAAAATATAAACTGCAGTGAATCATTCGTAAAAAAATGAAATTGGATTTCCTTGAATTTTACGAACTCCGCAAATGTCACGGCCTAATGGAAGAAAATAGTGCAGAGCTGGTACAGCAGAAAATTGCACAACCTTCGAAGTGAAATTCGTTCCAAAATCCACAGATAGAGCAAGGTTTTGTGTGATTTGATCCAATTTTGAAAAGCATTATACAGTACAGTATTGCACTTCTACATAAAACCGAAGTAGAGACTTGAGCTGCGAAATCGAGTCAAAGCAATTTTAGTCAATGA